TCAGGAAGAGCATGCTTTTCATTTCCAGAAGGTGGTATCACAACAGGTGCTCTGCTCTCGCCAGGTTTGGCCTTGGTAGGCAACTGTAAAAGGCTGATTCCAGTCCCATGGAATGATGTTTTGGAAGTGGTTGAGCTCGGGTTGTGGTCTAGGTTGTCGAGGGCGCCAACAGTGAACACACCTTTCCGGAGGCTAGCCGGAGACACCACTCCATCTTCTACAAAGCGTTCACAGGTAGAAGTTGCGATCCATTCCTCAATCTCCATAATCCTGTCATAAGAAATGCTGATGCCAAAGTGATACAACTGCGTGATGAGCTTCTTGCTTCTAGTCAGTGCATGCATACTGATGCCAATATAGATTGGGAGGGGTGGTTCACGCTCCAGAGTGTGTCTGGTCTTCACAGTGGTATCAGATGACCGTTTCTTTGTATTGTAAGTGATGCACTGGCTGATTGTGAGGCAAGCCTGGGAGTCACGCTTGTCTTGATGTTTTAAGTTGGGACCATTCAAGATCATGGAGACAAGAGACTTGATGCTTGAGGGCAGTGAGTCTTCCTGACATTCTTCCGGGAAGCAACCAGTGAATTTGAAGCCTTGATGGTTAAAGATGTCTTTTCTTATTATTGTAGCAGCATTGGCCAAGATAACAGCGTCTGCTGAGAAGTCTCGACTCGTCAGAGCTTCTTTCAACATATTGTGCATGCCTTCCTTGAAAATGAGTACAGTGTTTTTCCCAGCATACTGTTCTTGTGCCTCTGAGAAGCGTCCTAGCAAACGAACCTTCAGTCTGGTCTTGTTGACTTGTTTCTTGATACCCAGTTCTTTAAGACGAGTCACATACAGATCGTGAACCTCATTCAACTTGAAGAGGAGAGTTCCAGAATCCACAGACTTCTCAATGTAGCTGGTCAGTTCCACAAATGCCCGAGACTCGTTCATTTTTTCATCTGTGTTTTCAGCTGCTTGGCCTGCCTTGCGGGTATGACTACGGTAGCGATTTCTTAGCTTGGTCAGACATGTCAGATGGTATTTTGCCTCCATTGCAATTAGATCTCCCCCAACTATTCTAGCCATAAGCAGGGTATCATTTAGCTCTGTGATCATGTCCCTGATATTTTTGTCGGTATCCAAGGTTGAAACTTCATGGAGAACATTTTCTTCTTCACCTTTCTCACAGAATATACACCTTTGAACATCTAGTGATTTGCGCTTACTGGGCCTTTTCTCTTCACCATCAGGGTTAGGCTCTCTCTTCTTATTTGTCTTTGCCAACTTGGAATTGTTAAACTTTAAATGGCAAGATTTGTGCCAGGAGGCAGAATGAGAAACAAAATTGTCAACAGTTTCATCACTCCCAAAATAGAGTTTCACAGGAAGAGCACCAATATTCCTGAACTGTTCTACGTTGGTCAGGAATGATGTGTAGGCACATGCCTTGTCAACACTTGTCCTAGGACTCTTTAAGGGACACTTCAAGGGTTCAGCAGTGTCGTGCTGGCAAATCACACAGCGATCCCAATTTAGCTCCATGTTTAGTCACACCCTAAAAAGAAACAAATGTATTGGAATACTATGAAAGGTGTCCGAGGCCACTACAATATTTAGTAGGATGTAGGTTCAATGAATTCAGGCTGTTGGCTCATTAATTCATGTCTCATATGTTACCTTCTTTTTTCTGAGCAGAGCTACATATTATGTGTGTATCAAAGTAACACTCGACAAGTTAAGCCTAATGTTCTCCATCAAAATGATGATGAACTATAATCAATCTGTCTAGCCCATTGCCCTGCTTCATCTATACTCATCAATGCTTTGATTTTCTTTCACAACTGTTTATTTAATTATAGACTTTTCACCCTATTAACAATCAATGAGTTCCCTGGCAACATAACACAAAAAGACATGAACTCACAAGCATTCATAAGCACGCCTGTTAAATTTACATACACACACATACAATCATTCATATTCATACCAATCTACCCCTATGCAATTCAACACACTGCACAGTCCCAATTTGGGCGCATGCACTGCCAACTACTCAACTATTATGCAATGTGTATCCAACACACTTACTATGCACACACAGCACATCATTTAAACTTTCTTGACCTTTCCAACTCTAAAATCAGTTTTGTATAGGAGGACACTAAACCACAAAGTTGTCATATAGTCTGTAACTATCAAAGAATGTAACAAGTAAAGAATGATACCTTATCTCTCTATTTGAATAAAGATGTTTATGGATAGAAATCTGATAAAAATAAGGTTTTTTCTTACCTGATACATAATGTGCTGGATTAGTGAACTTCAGATTAAGTAGGTCACAAATGAATGGACAAGAACAAAGAACGCCATCACTCATCAATATGTGCTTAGTGTCTGCTTCAGAATACGTCTTACATGTTAATACTCTTTATAGAGACTGGAAATATCTAAACTCAAACAACAAAAACAGGCAATTATCAGAGTAGTGGATAAATTGAGGGGAAAAAATAAAATTTGTGAACATTTTATAAAACAACACTTCTCAAGGAACTAACGGCTCATCACATTAAGTACCCATTATATATAGGTTTATGGTTCAATAATTACTTTGGTAAAACTGCTTGTAGGTCCATTTGTAGTATTGCAATTTATCCAAAGTTGGATTCAATTTGATCAGTGGCCTCTACACAAATATTTCGTAACCATTTTAACCTTTTTATCATTCACAAATGTCGGCTAACTTGAAAATTCTGTGTTTTACATGATTTTTTCAAAACTTTCGAAAGGCTCCTAGGCTATGATTAGTTGATAGTAACGCTTAGCCACCTGAAATGAGCGTGTTCTGTTGTTAAGACTAATTACTGGCAACTGGCAACATTTTACCCCAGAGTATGCCAAGTATTAAGGTTTAAAAAAAAATCAATGCGGGGGCTCCGAAACAACGCCCCGACCCTCTTCACACGTATGTGATTGTTTTGCCGGGGGCTCCTTCCTTAATATCATTCAGTAGGTCCTAGGAGAGCTCTGTACTAATACAGGCTGTCATATAACCACAAACCAATGTGATATTTCATGATATCTAACACGGGGGCTCTGGTACGACGCCCCCGCCCCCAAAACACACCTATATAAATGTTTTGTTGGGGGCTCCAACCCTAACAGCGTTTACCAGAAATTGCATTCGTGCAAGAAAAAAGTTTTTTTTTTTTTTTTTTTTTTTTTTTTCCTTTATAGTTTTTGGGGGGCTCCGGGATGATGCCCCCGCCCCTACACCCTTATATGAAATTATTGCCAGGGGGTCCTACCCTACTACCTTTCAGTAGGTCCTAAGGAAGCCCTGTACAAAAGCAGGCTGTCGTATAACCACAAACCAATGTGATCTTACATGATATATAATATGGGGGCTCCGGTAAGACGCCCCCGCCCCCAAATCACCCCTATAAACATTTTTTTTGGGGGGGGGCTTCAACCTTAACATCGTTCAGAAGGTCCTAAAAAGCCCTGTACCAAAAATTACATTCGTACAACAACAATTCAATGTTATTTTACCTTATATATTATTTAGGGGCTCGGGGATGACGCCCCCGCCCCCACACCTTTATATCAAATTTTTACCGAGGGCTCCTAGGCTATTATCGTTCAGTAGGTCCTAAGGAAGCCCTGTACCAAAAATGGCGCTTTTGTCCGCCGTGTAACGATAATCGATAATTTTGACGCTAAGCCACCTGACTACAATACTAAGTTTCCACAGAAGGATAAAGAGACACCTTTAAAAAAAAAAAAAAGTTTACAAGTCATAGCATCGGACTAGGATTCTAACTCAAAATGAAAGAATGCCTATATCCAAAGAGCATTTGCAGTTCAAGAAAACTGAAAAAAAATGTATCTGACATTTCTACTTCTGCTATGGTATGAAGCTAGGATACAAGAAGAAGAAGCCAGACAGGTTTATCTATGCACCACTATACCACCATCACACAATGCAACAATATGTGACAGCCGGCTTAATTGGATGCAATACAGAAGGCATAAGCCTCACTAAAATGTCCTAAGCCTCCTTGGAGTATAAAAGCCTTGCTGACACTTCGCAAATGTCTTGAATAGAAGTCAAATTCTTATTTCCCAGTGTATTAATTCTAGTATCTCTCATAATTTGGTCATAATCCTCTTTTGGAAATTGCAGCCAATGTGTCTGAACTGAATGACGGAAACCACAAACAATCTTCTTATATGGTATCAACATTTTGTTACCCTTCCCTCAAAATTTACCATTGTGTGCCAGGCAGAAGGGCAGAAACATGGATTTTGGTTGGTAAAATTGGGTTATTTATTTGTTTTGTAATGCAGAGCTAAGAAATATTCTAGAATAAATTAATTTCATATAATATAATATATTTCAATAAATTACATTCAATCATGATGAAAGATTTGACTGAAATGGGTTGCATAGATGTACATGTAGTCAAAGAAAGGTCAAATCGTTAAACTTTCGTACTTCTAGGAATGCTCATTGTTCAGTAGTACAGATGTGCTGGATTCTGACACACATTTGCTGGAATTAACAAAGGAGGATTAAGATCAAATTATGAGTGGTACAAGTAATAGACAAGGAGATAAGGCTTTGACTTTTAGCAACACATCCATTTGCGTTGTGCTTGGGGGGGGGGGGGGTGATTCACAAAGGTCCTAAGTCGAACTTAACTCTAAGTTGGACTTAAACATTATGGAGAGCCATATCATGATATGTAGCCTTAAAATTAAATATATTGAATAGCGAAAAATCAAATATTTTAGACTTTTTATAAATTCCACATCGAGAACATGAAATATCCTTGATAATAGAAATTATGAATGATTTGATTCAACATCTTATGCCTTTTAAAATAATTTTACAAAATATTTTCATGGATGCTAACGGCTTTCCATAATTGTTAAGTCCAACTTAGAGATAAGTTCAACTTAGGATCTTTGTGAAACACCCCCCCCCCCCAGAGATTCATCTGAGCTTACTTTGGGAGTATCTCTGCTATCTGGAACAGCATGTGCATAGGAAGAATGTATCCCGTGCTCTCATCCTCCTGTCTCGCTAAGCTATCTCTCCAGGCAAACAACTTCTTGAAGGCATGCATCTGTTTGATGAAAATTTTAATATAATTCCATTAAATTTATTTAAAAAACCTGATTTAATCAACATAAAGTGCTCTGCCTATATGTCAAGGGTCACAACTTCATTTTTGAAAAACAAACAAACAAAAATAACCTTCAACGAACAAAATCAACAAAAGAAGTATATTCTAATTTTTGTCCTTTGTTTTTGTTTCGTTCATCTTGTTCAGTGAAAGGTCCATATACGCTAAAATGCCATTGGAAATTGCAGAGAACTACCATTTACCACTGGTGCTTGTACAACTGTCTCTCTTCCCTGTATGCAAATAGCCAGCTTTATGCAGACATTGATCAATGACTTGTCCTAATATGGATTTTTTTTTTTAAACAAAATTTAACATACTTTCACTAACATAAAAGAAGCACACCCTCTGTCTTTTCAGTTGAACAAATGGTGCCACATCAGGGCAATGTACCTGTCTACAAAATCTACACTTACCTGTTTCTTGTTAAAGATCTTCCTGTTTTTCTGAAAGGCCGTTACGTGTGAATCGTTCGTGAAGATGGGTTTGTTGTACCGCTACACAGGAATAACGAATACAAAATTCATTAACACGTTTTTACATTTGAAACAGAATCGCTCAAAAATTCAAACAAACAAAAATCACAAAACTATATTTAATTGCCCACAATTACTTGATTTTTCAACAGCTAAGTCTTTTACAGAATGGAACAGTTAAGATGGGTCTCAGGGCGCGACAAACCCGCTTGCCCGACGTCCCGGGGCAACCAAATTGAGCCGTCGGGCAAGTAAATCAAATTATCACTTGCCCGATTCGGGCAAGTGATACTTTTACAGTAATTTCCTAGTGTCCAAGAACTCTACCATTCACCCGTCAACTTCTTACCCGTCGTCAAAATCCAGAAGCAAAAAAGCGATCGTTCCGATTTCAAAAAAACTTCACAGACAGCTAGCCAGCTCAGCTAGCTCAGCGCGCATGCAACAGTGACACTTCAAGCCATGAATGCCGCTCCGCCTCCACGCACGGCCGGCCGTGAGCTAGCTAGAGACAGCTAGCGCGATCGTACCAGCTGCGAGCTTATTCGCGCTCTCTCTCTCTAGCTCTGCAGGCCGCACCGACAGGCCTTTGCTATTCTCTGATTGCCGATTGGTTGAATCACGCCAAATATGACGTCATTATTCTAGGGAAATGAACACGTGCGAATCGGAATGGAATAAACAACAGGGATTTTCTAGTAAGTACAAAAAGTCAAATGTTTGATATTTATTCATAATGACTGTTAATGATTGTGAACATATTATTTAAAACTCGCTGCTCATATAAATCAGATGAATGTTTTTGTCTCGTTTTCAATTTATTACTGCGGTCTCAAGATCCGACCGAGCGAGTCATTTTGATAATAGTATCGAGACCCCCAGAATATAAGCCGTTGTTGTTTTGTTTTCATGGTTTTAGCGACGTTGTTTAGTCTAGTTTTCGCATACTTATCCGAGATTTATCGTAAAATATCTTCAATATTATTATTTAGTAAGAATTTACAAATTTTGGCATGATATTTATTTGACATATAAGGTTATTATTCAGTACAGTTACACTGTACATGTGTGCATTAATTTGCTATCTAAAACACTAACTTATCATTACGAGATAATAAATGCTTTAACCTCGAGTCCTTTTTCGCTTTAAAGTTTTGGGCAAGTGGAAATATTGTTTGGGCAAGTAAATTGAAAACCCACTTGCCCGACAGGGCAAGTGGTGAAAAAAATTCTTGTAGCACCCTGGGTCTTTATTTATCAAAATAGTGATTCAGGTCTGTCAAAAAACACCAGGACTCTAAAACTAATATTATAACTCTCATTCACTGGCAGCGCAATTTTTGTAAATATACATTTATTTGAATTGATTCTTGGCTTTAGAAGAATAAGTCATACTAAGAGAAAAACTTTCTTTAAAGGGGAAGTCCACTCTGATATTAAGTTGTTTTCAATAAAAGCGGAAACATGAGAGAAACAAACTAGTGAAAGTTTGAGCAATATCTGATTTAAGATAAGGTAGTTATGAATTGTAAAAGTTGTCATCAGTGAAACACAAAGTGGCAACACTGTGACATATATATTGCAAGCTCGCATGATTTATTTTGTATCCGACATCTCATTGTACCTCTGCTATGGTATGAAGCTAGGATACAAGAGAAGACAGACAGGTTTATCTATGCACCACTATACCACCATCACACAATGCAACAATGTGAAACAGCCGGCTTAATTGGATGCAATAAACATAACACTCAAGTCTACTACGCAGTTAAAGATAAAGTTGACTTCTGAGATTGCATTGTGAAAGAAACATTGTGGATTCATTTCAGAAAAGGTTAATCATCTAGCATCTAAGTATTGGTGTAGATTGCAAGGTTCTGAAATCATCAAAATGATAAGAAAGTTGGCCAAGTCTTGGTAAAGTTACAAGCACTGTACACAGAAAGGTGTATATGGGACTACCCTATACCTATCCAGTCCAGATAGATATAATAATTTACCAAATATATCAATTAGTAGGTGGTTTCCCGGCAAAATTTGTATCATCACGTATTAGTCAAAACATATTCTTTCACAGGGTTGGTAATAAGAGCTTCCATTTCATTTTTTGAGAGGGGGGCGTTTCCAAAACTGGTCTATACCTCTAAGTGGATAATCAAAGCTCACTGTTTCTTTGAACATTTATCCCCCCCCCCCCTACTCAAACACCTCTTAGAAAAGATTTGATAGCACCTACCTGCACGCAGATCCTAGTACTTTGATCCAGCACGGCCCTGAGAAGATTCCTTCTATCATTGCCTCGTTTGATAAGTTCATTCTTCATCGTGTGGTAGATGTAGAGCAGGTAGTGGGTGTCTTCCCTTGCGTAGTGCAGCATCTCTTCAGGTAGAGGCCTGCAGAAAGGAAACAAGTACCAAAAATTGTTATGTCATGAGTGCAGGTGACACCAAATACTCAATAATAATAATAAAACAGTCAAACTTGTCTACAGCGACTGCCCAAGTGAAACAAAAATTGTGCTGGTTGTAGACAGGTGGTCTTTGTAGACAGGTTCCTTTAATACATGTTTCAATGAGAAACCATTTTCAAGGGAAACAAAAAATGTGCTTGTTGTAGACAGGTGGTCTTTGTAGACAGGTTCCTTTAATACATGTTTCAATGAGAAACCATTTTCAAGGGAAACAAAATTGTGCTTGTTGTAGACAGGTGGTCTTTGTAGACAGGTTCCTTTAGTACATGTTTCAAAGAGAAACCATTTCCAAGGGAAACAAAAAATGTGGTCTTTGTAGACAGGTGGTCACTAAAGCAGGTATGACTGTAGTACACTTCTTCTAACTTCAACTATCGATCAAATACTATATATATATCTAACCCAGCCATTAACCATAAACGTACCAATTACAACTCCAACTCTAACCCTATATCTTTGAAGATATAAAAATCAAAGCAACCAATCGGCCAAGCATAATTAAGTCAGAACGGAGAAGGATGAAAACCCAATTAAACAGTTAGTGTGAAAGCTTTGTAATAAACCCGTTTACTATATTGATGTTTTTTCCCTGGGGACCTAGTGACAACTTATTTCATTGAACTGCATTCAATGAATTAACAACAATATTTGGAATCCGGTCTGCATATGTTACGTGTTGCTATGTCGGACAAGCCATGGGCATGCTTTAGGGTAGTCAAGAACAACCTTTGTTAAAAAATTTATGCATAAAATTTGAATATGTAAGTAAATCAGTTTACACTGTAACTCGTTAATGAACTTGTATCTGACATATCCTTGTACCTCTGCTATGGAGTGAAGTTAGGATACAAGAAAAGTCAGACAGGTTTATGTATGCATCGCTATACCACCATCACACAATGCAACAATGTGTGACAGCCGGCTTAATTGGATGCAAGTAGAAGTAAAGACAGATTCATTCAATGGTCTGACCATATTAATCTACTTAAAAATAAAGGTGAGTTCTGGTCATCCGATTGCATTGTGAAAGAAAAGGTGTGGATTGGATCAGAAAAAGTTGATCATGTAGCATGTAAGTAATGGTGTGTACTGCAAAGTTCTGGAGTCATCAAAATCATAATAAATTTGGCCCAGTCTTGGTAAAGTAACAAGCACTGTACACAGAAAGATGTATATGGGACTACACAAAAGGTGTCGGGGCTACTAACCTTGATTTCCTAATCTTTCTATGCTCATTACTCAGCCAGTATACATTTTCTACCAAAATTGTTTGGCAAATGACATTTATTTGTAATCTGGAACATTCAGTGCAAGTTTTGTTTGATTCTTTGAGAATTCATTTTCTTTTTTTTTACCAGAACTCACCTTTACCTTTAATAATTAGAAAAAGATGAAGCAAATTTTGGTATAAATGCTAAAACAGCAGGCATGCATCAATTAATGATGCAAGAACTAACTACAAATTTTATATCACTTATTTCAAGGACTTGATGTTATCATCAAAAGACAATTACAGTGAGAACTGTCTATAAAGACCACCCAGGGAAGACAAGAAAAGTGGTCTTTATAGGCAGGTGGTCTTATGTACAGGTTTTTTTAGAAAATGTTTTAATTAGACACCATTTTCAAGGGAAACAAATAATGTGGTCTTTGTAGACAGGTGGTCACTAAAGCAGGTTTGACTGTATTACAACCTTGTACACTATTGACACTTGAACAAAATGATATAGTCTTTAATCACACCCCAAGTCATATACCCACATACACCTTACCTTATTCTCCAGTCTGCTAACTGGTACTGTTTATCAGCCTCGACCTGGCAGTATCTTGAAAGCAGACTAGCCAGACTATGATGCGGAAAGCCCAGGGACCGTGATGCTTGGTGGGTGTCGAACATGTTGACGACGTAGAGACCCAGGTCCCTCTGTAGCCAGTCAATGTCCATGTTGGCTCCATGGAAAACCTACATCGTAAGAAAACAAGAAAAAGAACAATGGTAGATATTGGTTCTGTCTCTAAGCCACGTGATCTGGTGGTAATAACTGAATTCCCAAATTCAATCCTGAAACAACCACTATAATATATTGATCTTTCAGGTTTCTAGGGACCATCCATCTCAGCCACTCTTGCGCTCATTATACTGGCTTCCTTTGAAAAATTACTCTTGTTTGTCTACATAATACTCAATAATCAAGCTCCACAATATTTAGATTTTGAGACCTTGTATCTGACATATCGTTATACCCCTGCTACGAGTTGAAGCTAGGATACAAGACGAAGAAGTCGGACAAGTTTATCTATGCACCACTATACCACCATCACACAATGCAACAATGTGTGACAGCCGGCTTAATTGGATGCAATACTTTTTCTTCAATTTTCAACAGATCTATAACTACAGGCCTTATCGAAATCTGCAGCCTTTAGTTTTCAAATGGGTTTCAGGCAAATTTGCATGGAGATAAATGCAAGCCTGTTTTCAAACGTATTTAAAAAATGGTTATAATGAAACGCAAAAAAAAGTGTGTTTGGAATGTGAGAATGAGCCAGAATCACATTTCTGACGGATTTTCTTTTTTTTTTTTATTTTGATTTTATTTCTGCATTTTTTCCATATAAAATATAACTGAATAACAAAGAACATATAAATGTAAGGTATAATGCAACATAAATAAACAATAATTTCTTCATGTCAAAATGTTTTTTTTACATAATATATATGTACATATAATAACGAAACATAATATTTCCATAACATATAATCATAAATTAAAAGTATTAACCAAACTATTCTGTTGGAAAAGTGCAGGAGACCGCAATCATAAGCAATGCTTGACAAGGATGGCGGCCTCAAAAAAAACAAAAACAAAAAAATCTTAAGGTAAACCTTAAAATCAAAAAGTGTTTAAACGATCTTTGTGTATGAGTTGGTGAGGGTGTGTGCAAAGATGATAAGAGCAAAGCTGTTTTGAAACACACATACATATTGGACCTTCCCAGGCTAATTTCCGGTTCGGAGAAATGGCGCGCGCCATGTGCTGAGCCCTCGTCGACCTCCAAGCAACTCTCTGCTTCCCGGGTCAAACAGCGCAAAGCAGTTACGCAGAGACAAGGCCTTTATTTAAAATCATGACGAGTTGATAAACGTGACATCCCCAAAATAATATTCGTATAGTGGGGTTCAATATGTAAGGATAGAAATGCTGTTTCTGAGTGGCAAAAGATGATAAACGCACCCAATTACTTAGTAGTCATATGCTCACCTTGACTATCTTTGGATCGGTGAAGGCATCGTTCAACATCTGGAGCTCACTGCGAAGCTCTAGTGTGTCAACGACATAGTCGTGCTCTGCTGTCGATATCTGCATCAAGCAGGTGAACCCCAGGTACGACCTGTAGGAATGATGCTGCAAAGATGAGAACAAATGAAAATGGACGTTATCATGCGCAAGAACATTAAAGACATTGCAGTGGTACCAGACACGATTAGCATTTAATGCTATTTCTGGTCCCATTTATCTTTTCAATGTTGAACATTCACATTTGATTGTTATATTGATGTACTTTTTGTTTGGATAAACTTCAAACTCAAAGTCAGAATAGCATTTAAAAATTATTGCCTCACTTTCACTAACAACTTACAAGATTACGAGTGAAACTTGATCCAAAGCCCAGGGAATTTAAAATTATGTCAACAACGAGTAAAGTATTAAACCACTGAGCACAGAAAGTCAAGACATAGAATAAAACATGATATTAATTTCTAATGCTGTACAATGGTATTATAATACATTTTGCTTCATTATGTTTATTTTCTGGTTATATTGTCCCAAAGGACCTGAATTATCTCAAGATGTCTATTTAGGGTTATTTAGGTCTTCAAGAAAGTTAATTTCATTCTGGCTCTTGTATGAACTTGTATCTGACCATTCCGTGTACCTCTGCTATGGTATGAAGCTAAGATACAAGAGGAAGAAGTCAGACAGGTTTATCTATGCACCACTATACCACCATCACACAATGCAACAATGTGTGATAGCCGGCTTAATTGGATGCAATGAAAAAGAGCTAAAGCAACACATAAACCTGTTCCCACTAATATACATTTCTAAAACATTCATGAAAATGTTGCCACCTTTAATCCCAGAACCTCTAGTGTCTGTGCTACAACAGCAAAGACCCAGCATGTTGTCTCTTTCACTATCTGGTCCTTTATCTTTGGGGAATCCCCAATTCTTATTTTGTACTAAACTATGAGTCACTGTGGAAAGTAATTGCCTGTCTATCTGTAATTATGCAGACAGAATGCAAGTTACAGGTTTTTCAAGTACATAAAATGGCTAAGATAAACACAACCTTGTTGAAGGAATCAATGATAATAGGGTCAGGTGCAAATGGGACAAACAAATTATTGTGGACCCCAAGATAAGAATTCAAATGGCGCACATACACACAGGTATGGTCCTTAGTGTGAAACCCTTGGTCCCGTTTTTATATAGAGTTGCGATTGATCCGAAGATCTGAAATCGATCGCAAGTCCTGTAATCAATCGCAAGTTTGCAGTCTCCTATCTCTTTATACATGATTTCAAATTGCAAATTAGTTGTGATTGATATCAACTGTTTATAGGACGGGGCCCAGGGAGTGTTTCACAAAGACTAAGATCGACTTTAAGTTGGACTTAACTATGGTAGGCCGTTCATGCCACTGTTTGATCTCACCATTTACTGGCATTGGCCTCTCAAGGTACTAACAAATCGTGGTCACAAATTTACAGAATTTACCTTTTTTGATAGTTCAATATTGAGGGAAAAATTATTATCTAAAGATCATAATTGAGAGACCAATGGTGAGAGAAACCAGTGGCATGAATGGCCTGCCATAGTTAAGTCCAAGTTTAAGTCGATCTTAGTCTTTATTGACACACCCCACCTGGTTTCACTTGACAATTGTTAAAATAAACTCCTACCTCTAAATCAACAGCAATCTCCTTGGATTGTTTGAGGCTACGACTCAGCTCCTCCAGCTTCGACACAGTGTCTACCAGGGTGAAGGGCGTGGCTTCCAGAGGGGTGTAACTTGGGTCGTCTACCGGTTCCAGCTGAGATGGGAGGGGTTCTAAGTGGTCCAGCTCATGTTGATAGGGATGGGGGTACCTGCATTGAGGGATGGAAGAGAAAGGAAAAAAGTCCAGATTGTTATTACTATTAGCTATTATTATCGTCCGTTCATTCGGGCATTATTTGTGTAGGACAGACTAAATCGCAGTGAGTCGAAAGCCTTTCTTCAGCTATAACTGATTGGGATGTGTAGAAGAGCGCAGTGAGGTTGTGCATAGGTGGTGATTTAACATCCTATCCCAGGGACAACATTTTCCACTGTAAACTTGTTTGCATCGAGGAGGTGCAATAGCTCAATTGGTAGAGCAGCAGTCTCATAATTCAGCAACCCCGTTCGAAACCAAGTCAATGCGCTAGTGCCCTTTGGTAAGGCATTAAACCTCATTACCAGGTCTCTTGGAGAGGACCTAAAGCTCTCGGTCCTCTGGTTGCTTAATAACGAGCATTTATGCTTTCTTAGCAGTCAGGTAAAATAACCACCACTACACACAATACAATCTATAGAATAGGGGAGGGGCATTAATCACTCAAGGTATAGTTTTGTTCATCCGCAATTCAGAATTCAAACCCATTATCTTTGGTTCGACCGCCAGACGCTCAACCAACTGCACCAAAGAAATAGGGAGGGTTCTACAGCATAATTTTATGAAATATATAAAGAACAGAAAGGGGCAGATAATACTCATAACAAATTCAGTTAAAATATGATGGGTTAATGGATTTGCAAGAGTAATTTCTAAACATTTGTTGTCTTGTTGAGAAAACTTACGCTTCTGTCTGGGTTTCACTGTCCCTCTTGGCAGGCGAAGACGAGTCGGTCTTGGTCAAGAATGACTTCTTTGTGGTATCAAACACTAGAAACATGAAAGAAACATATTATTATCCTTTCAATAGTGATTATTTGCAAACAGGCAGCATGAAGTCCAATCAAATGTTTGACTGAAAGCCGGGCCCACGCTCTAAATTATTTTTTACTGTTAGGTTCATTGTGCTCTATTTCACTAATATGGCAATATGTTTTAAAATGATAAACATGCATTAGCTAAGGTCCCAAAAGATAGCTTTTTTGTTTGTTATTTAAAAAAGCTCACCACCTTGTGGAAAGCTTGCTTACCAGGTAAACTTAAATCCAATGTGGACAATTTTCTATTATTTTGTTTTAAAACACATTAAGAGGTCATAAAAATTGAAAATTACGTGGGAAATCTATCATGCTCAATATTGTCCATACACACATTAATTTTTTTTTTTTAATTACTAGTTCCACATGCTTTACTTCCTTCGCCCATTAATAGTAATCAGGTTTGACTGTAGAGAGCAACCAAGATGGCACATTACCTTCTGGCAGTGGTTTGAGTGCATTGGGTTTGTGCGTGATGACCGGTACGAAGGGTACGTTGGAGTTATCAACCCTATCCTTGAACTTGAGCTGGGGCCTGGCGATGTTCCTGGCATGCATCAAACGGAAGTTCCTGGACTTCTCGTTGAGGGCCTCCGATCTCTGTCGAGTGAGAAAGATGGAGAGAGCATAAGAGAGAGACCAAGAGATATTGATAGTGAAAGAAGAGTAAGAGAAATATGAAATGAAATTGACGATGTAAGGAAATGTTGGAGACAAAAGGGGGAGAGAGAAAGAGAGGGGAGAGAGAAAGAGAGGGGAGAGAGAAAGAGAGGGGAGAGAGAAAGAAAGGGGAGAGAGAAAGAAAGGGGAGAGAGAAAGAAAGGGGAGAGAGAAAGAGAGGGGACAGAGAAAGAAAGGGGAGAGAGAAAGAGAGGGGAGAGAGAAAGAGAGGGGAGAGAGAAAGAAAGGGGAGAGAGAAAGAGAGGGGAGAGAAAAAGAAAGGGGGAGAGAAAAAGAAAGGGGAGAGAGAAGAGAGGGGAGAGAGAAAGAGAGGGGAGAGAGAAAGAAAGGGGAGAGAGAAAGAAAGGGGAGAGAGAAAGAAAGGGGAGAGAGAAAGAAAGGGGAGAGAGAAAGAAAGGGAGAGAGAAAGAAAGGGGAGAGAGAAAGAAAGGGGAGAGAGAAAGAAAGGGGAGAGAGAAAGAGAGGGGAGAGAGAAAGAAAGGGGAGAGAGAAAGAAAGGGGAGAGAGAAAGAAAGGGGAGAGAGAAAAAGAGGGAGAGAGAAAGAGAGGGAGAGAGAAAGAGAGAGGGAGAGACAGACATACAGATAGAGATGATAGATTTAGAAATGGAAAAGAGGAAGACGGAGGAAGGGAGAGACAGAGACAAGAAGAAAGAGGGAGGAGGAGAAAAAAAAGTAAGATTAGAGATTCAAAACAAAGACTGGCTAAGTAATAGACAGACTCTTCTTCTGTTAACTCCTTGCTAAATGTTAACTCCTTCATGACTTTCAATATGAAATTAAGATAAACTTAAAGATTGTATCTGACATTTCTGTGTACCTCTATGGTATGAAGCTAGGATACAAGAAGAAGAAGCCAGACAGGTTTATCTATGCACCACTATACCACCATCACACAATGCAACAATGTGTGACAGCCGGCTTAATTGGATGCAATGGCAAAGAGATGTCCCAATCAAGCACCTAAAAACAATAATAATGATAACATGGCGTTCTTGTATTCCGCATATCACATTATGACAATGTCTCTATACGCTTCCAAACGATTTGGGATAACTAACCAGCTATAGTTCCAACAAATGGCAATTGTAGATTAATGTCTTGCAAAAGCACATTACTGTTGCGGCAGGGATTCGAACCCCATACCGTGTGGTTCACAGTCCAGATAATTATCCACAAGACCACAAAGCTTCTACACACAACCCATGAATAATGAATTAACACAAGAAATAGGAACAGCTTTATTTGATAAAGGATAACTTACAGGAACAAAGAGTTGTGCATGCATGCAAACAGCATTGGTTGTTACTTGGAAACCTCTAAATCCAATTATTATTCATGAATGATTATCTGAAGAGAAAGAACAATTGATAGTTCATTTTGTCATCTCAATGCATTTACACACAATGAGAACCATGCCCCCCCCCCCTTCAAGACTTCAATGAGGATAGGATCTTACCTTTTTGTTCCAGCTCGTAACGATGAGTTGTGGTTTCGAGACGCCCGGTGAGAAGCTCTGAGTGGGCTTGCTGATGCCTTCTGCTTCGTCCAGCAGGGCACCCTGTAAAGATCAATACAATCATACAGCATTTAAAGGTATAGACCAGTTTTGGAAACTCCCCCCTCTCAAAAAATGAAATGGAAGCTCTTATTACCAATCATGTTAAAGAATGCGTTTTGACTAATACGTGATGATACAAATTTTGCCGAAAAACCGCTTGTAACTTTACCAAGACTGGGCCAAATTTATTATCATTTTATTGATTCCAGAACCTTGAAGTACACACCAATACTTATATCCTCGATTCCACAATGTTTCTTTCACAATGCAATCGCATGACCAGAACTGGTCTTTACCTTTAAAAAGAACAACCAATATTTTCTTGTGTATCATTACAGATACTCCAACAAGCTTCAGACTTGACCTTTATTTCAACAAAGATAGAAGTTTAAGATGTATACGAGTGGGCTACAAGTTAAAAGTTGATGAAACAAAGTAAAGACTGAGAATATGCAAAAGAAAAAGGGAGAGATGCATGAGAATGACAAAACAGAAAAGGAAAAGGAGGAAAGGAGTCAAGAGAGAAAAGAGAGAGTGAGAAAAGAGGGGAATATATACATGTATTATACAACAAATGTTATATTTTCATGTCAAAAGAAGTAGAGTTATGAATCCAGAAAAGGGGAAAAATTAAGCATTCTCAACATATACTGTTAATAAAAGTTTTTGGCTGTGAAGCAAGAGCACACTTTAATTGGTACTGTCACTATCTTTTAACAGAAAAAGGGAAATATATGAAAACGGAAACACATTTATATGAAAAGGAACAATGAAGAGATGGATTATTGCACAAATATAATGTCTAGTTCCAGAAATTCATTCACTCTCTTACCGCATTTTCCAGAAGGGTGTCATTGGTCTCGATGAGGGAGTCTATTCTATCCTCGAGATCTAGGATCTTGCTAAGACCTACTTGACTTTCATCTGCCCCTTGCTGCCCTGCAAGCCTCTGGATGCTGACAAGAAAAAACGACAAGATTGGTTATGGTAAAGGCGATTGATGATATTGATCATACAGTCAAACCTGCTTTAGTGACCACCTGTCTACAAAGACCCCTTTTTTTGTTTCCCTTGAAAATGTTTTCTCATTGAAACTTTTCTTTTCTTCCTTGGGTGGTCTTTATAGACAGGTTTCACTGTAATAATAAGTTTTGTTTAACAATGCATGAGGCTGCAATTTTTTTGCATATTTTTCTTGAAGATACAAAGTTGTAGATGTAGGCCTACTGTACATACAATCATTTTCCTTGCTTTCTCCAAGCTTCCAGAATCCAGAGTCTTTAAGAAATTTCTGTCTCTAAATGTGAGCTCTCTCATCTTGTTATTCTTATGTAGTAGTGGTGGTTATTTTACCCCACTGCTAAGAAAGCATAAATGCTTGTTAGTAAGCAACCAGAGAACCAACGGCTTTAGGTCCTCTCCGAGGGACATGGTAATGAGGATTAATGCCTTACCAAAGGGCACTAACGCATCAACTTGATTTTGAACCCGGGTGTTTTACCAACTGAGGTATTGCGCCTCCTATGTAGAACCATACATTCATAAATTATAAGTAACCCCGGCTTTAGCCGAGCTACCATAAAAAGGTGCTCAAACACTCAAGAAATTTCTTCCTACAGGGTCCCCATTTACCTCACCTGGATTAAGTTGTCAAGTGTGGCAAATGTAGATTAATATCTTGCCAAAAGACATTAGTGCCCCGGCTAGACTCGAACCATGAACCATGCGATCCGATCCACCCTCCGGTGACGTACCTACTAGACCACGACAGACCACAAAGCTTGCATCACAAGCGGACTTACTTTCCTAGAAGTTTGTCTCCCTGTGAATTGCAGAACTGCCTGAAGCCCTCAAAACTAGAGTAGAAGTCATAGTCGTCTCCAGCTGCCGGAAGTTCATTGGCGGCTCTCGTGGCCAATTTGAGCTTGCCGAGGGCTTTCTGTTGATGGATAAAATAGAGAAGCTCGATTGCATTATGTATTTAGGTACAAAACTCAAAACCCTTTACAAAATATATATCTATTTCTTAATTTCCTTTATCAAGGACTAAGAAAATGGAAATTTATGAATCTTTCTGTACAGAGCAAAACAAACAGGACCTCCCAAGATATGACACAGAGCTTTGTATTTGATTGAAACATTTAAATATTAATTTGTACATGTAATCCAACCATCAAAAAAATTAATTTCTGCTCTTTAATCCAACCATCAAAAAAATAAATTTCTGTTCTTTAATTTCACTTATCACTTTCTCATTTTTTTAAATAAAAGTAATACACCAACTAGATCTAGATCTACTAACTAGAATAAAATTAAATCTTTGTTGGAGTGAAATTCCCTTAATATTCAAGGGGTGAAATTCCCTCTAATCATCTCCTGCATTTCCTGTAGACTTTGCTGCATAATTTCATGAAACCTTCACTGTACAAATAGTACAATACAAGTTCAGCGATATCCCATTCCATTGAAAAGCGAGTTCATTGTTAGTAATCAATTACATGCATTTAAACGGGATGTCAATGAACTTGTACTTCTGTCTTCTGACTGTTTCTGAATTCTAGAACGACATTGAAACTAGTATTAGTAAAGACAAAGTAAAACTTCAAACACAAAGGCCCGAATTCACAAAGGAGGTTTGTCGACAAACCTAGGGCTAGGTTTATGTGCGTAATACGACGCGTTTTGACACGTTTTTGGGTTTGTACAAACGCGTCATATGATGCACATAAACCTAGGTTTGACGACAAACCTCCCTTGTGAATTCGGGCCAAAGAGCCTAGCTAGTTTAGTAGTTGTTTAGTACTTCACACAGTTGAGTTTGACTACAAAAATACCAATGCCTTGCCAATTCAATTGGCATTATTAAATACAACAGTACAGCTTCTGCCAATGAACCTGGCTACAGCATACAAAGGGATTTTGTTGGGGGAAGGCTTCATATTAAATTAGTCAACTAATAATATGAGGCCGAGGCAACTCGAGCTCGAAACATCGAAACCCAGCCGAGCGAGGCGAGCCTAACCCCGGAGCTGAGCCTTGCCCACGCCAGCGCGCCCCGGCCATATGCGGCCGTTCATATTCGCGGCGCGGCGCGGCATGGCCATGCATGTCTCTCTCCCATCTCAACAAACCTGTGCAAAATCGTTGACACTCGTGAAGCCTGGGACAATGTTTGTCACCGTTCCATCTCCAGTCTTATCAGCCATAATTAGGAAAAATGGATAAAAAATTACACCAACTGCAATCTCTCACTTTTCCTCAGCCTTTCATCAATTTCATGAAGGAACAGCTCACTTTCTTCAAATACGCGAGACTCGATGCGACGCCATATAAGACGCACGTGTCACGTCAATGTCTGAAAAAAATATTAATAATAATGCAGTAGACTAGTTAATGAAAGCAGGGACAGTGTGTTCAGGATGTATACATTTTAAATAGGAATTCTTCTTAACATTTATTATTATCGTTAGAAAAGAGTTAAAATTCTTGGTTTGCCGGAGAAAAAAAATCTTGAGAAAACGAAAATCACCTGACATTTCATATCTTTCTCTCGTTCGATCATCACGTGATTAGATCAGCTGGCTGGACGCATGATAGTTAATACGTGCATTATTATTTGCATTTATTTCATCGATGTTCACCTTCTTTAAAAGTTTTAATATTGTAAATGTAAAGCTCAACGAAGCATAAATTTGATTTCAAGATGTCGAAGATATTTATGCTGGTTTTATTTGGTGCCTTGATCTATGGAATTCATCTCTGGTTGAACACGAAATCGTACCTTTTTGATGATCAGACAATTGCAAGAATAGCGGAGAAATACGTTGGTAAGAGAAACTTAGACTAGAGTAAGATCTAGGGGTCTACTGCTTATCATCTAAATTGCAGTGATATGCAGCTATAGCAGCTGAGCTGCGCTTGCGTGAGCGTGGCATTCAACTACAAATAAAATTTCCATCATTATTGATTTTCATCACCTGATTCACCATCATCATCAGCCTTACTTACTTCGTTATTTATATTAATGACTAAATAATTCTTTAATGCCTGTGCAAGTATCCATAATCCCCCTGATTTCTTCTTCAGTTCTTCTTCTTCAATTGATTTTCAATCAATAGACCTAGACCTATGTTAAATTTTAAGTTTGTATTTAACTTTTTAAAGCATTCTGTTGTTAATGTTTTTGGTTTTTTGCTGTACTCTCGATCGCGATCTTCTCTCAAGTTGGTTATTCGCTATAGACTAAATGAGATGAGGGTCATCTGGTCAAGGGAGGAAAGGTTATGAAGATAAGCTTTAAAATATAAAACCAAAGAACAGCATACATTACATGAAAATGCAATTAAAATGATATTGCAATTCTTTTCAGGTTTTCCAAGTTAACAATAAGCTTTTGACAAAGTTTGTGAAATTCTCCAGGAGCAGTATACTCTGGTCACACCCTTCCAAATAAGAGGGAGGAATCTCAAGAATGGATCTTCCACTAAATTATAAGCTCCATTTAATCTACCTCAACAATGTGGATATCTATATCATAAAAAATCCAATTAACCATTCATGAAAATTGTCTTTTCATACAGGACTACCACACCAAGATGCTTTTGACAAAGTCGGGAAGTTCTGCGGGAGCGCGAGCATTACTCTGGACACACTCTTCCAAATAAGAGGGAGGAATGCATCTTCAATTAAATCATAAAAAACATAAGCTCCATTTAATCTAACACAATAGAGTACCGAAGCTGTGACATCATAAAAATTTATTTTTAGAATTTCTCAATTTGTTTACTTCATTTTCCAAATGAGCATAAAAAATAATGTCCGAATGTCATAAACCAATTGAAAAAGGTCAAGTATTGGCTGAGATATGACCATCTGAATGAATAGATGTCCTATAGAACTCAGTGTTATATTGCTCTGGCTCGTAATGTTAAGAAAAATTGAGAAATTCCAAAATATATTTTTGATGACGTCACACTTCACCACTATATAATGTCTAATTACCTACATAAAAATGCAATGAACAATTTTAACATTCATGAAAAATTGTCTTTTCATACAGGACTTCCACACCAAGATGCTTTTGACAAAGTCGGGGAAGTTCTGCGGGAGCAATACCCGGGTCACATCCTGCCCAAGGAGAGAGAGGAATGGATCTTTGTGAATGCTGGAGGGTGGATGGGAGCGATGTGTCTCGTGCACGCGTCGCTCACCGAGTACATTCTGTTCTTCGGCACTGCAGTGGATACTAGTGGACATTCTGGTGAGTTGAGAGGGAGAAAATATTGAAGATCAAGATAAGCACTAGTTTTTGTTTGTGTATATTGCTTCATAATAGATATCAGAACATGTTTGTAATACAAACCCCAAAACTTGAGTTAGCTTGTAAATTGAATATTGTTGTTTATGAATTTTGTCATCATTATTGGATTTGAACATTGCTTTCATAGAAATATTACCGGTAGACCATTCCATTGACATTACAAAACCATATTGTAAATAGTGTGAGCTTGCATTCAAGAAAATAGTTTTGTACCGTTCTGAACTACATACATATGAAATCTTGGAGCTCATGAATAAATTCAATTCTGTTATGTATGCAAACAATTTTTTTTTTCATTTGCCAGCTTAACATACTTTTTTAGATAAAAAAGTATTTGAATGATTTTTCGTTGTATTTTTTGTTGTTAAATATTTGTGTATTCTTTTATTTGTGTCCCAATCACACCAATTACCATTGCCCCAAATTGTCAAATAGGTCGATATTGGGCTAATGTTTCAGACACAATCATGACTGGGAATTTTCGTCAGTGGAAAGAAGGAACAACAGAAAGCGAGGAATATGGACCAGGTAAATTTACCATTCTTTAAAGCTCAGAAATTTGTTTCTTTTTTTCATTTCATTGTCTTCATTATCCTATAAATTTTCTAAAAGTTGACTACCTTTGCTGATTTAAAAAAAAATGTTGATTGACCAATGAATCAAGAACTGAAAACCCTTTGCCCATCCAAAAATTCTTTATATTGTATGTTTATCGATAACATGTATGTGCCCCCCCCCCCCCCATACAAACTGTGGCTACGTGCCTGATAACAAAAGCAAATTAGTACAGTGGAATTAAATCTTGTTATGATTTTTTTTTGCAAACTTTTGTTATCAGATTACTTTACTGGTTCCAGTTCTCTGTTTCCTTTGCTTTGTTTTGTTTTGGTTTGTTATTCTCTGTTCTGTTTAGCCCCAAGATAACGAGGTTCATTAAATAAATTAAATTTTCTTGGTACCAAAGATTTGTTGTATTGGGCTCCAATGTCAATGTTACTATGATGATTAGTTGATTTTGTTATCATCATCAGCATCATCATCGTCATAATTATAAGGCCTAAAAAAAATGTTTTATTACCCTTTGCGACCGACGCAAAAATCTTGAAATCTACGGTAGGCTCTTTAAAAAAGTTTTTTTTTTTCTAAATGTGTTTTAGAGAGAAAAAAATGATAAAGCATTCAAAACTAAGAAATGTCAATACAAAGAGGGAGGACAAAAGAAAAAAAAGATTTCCAACCGACCGACCGATGTTTTGGCACTTAAAGGGCAATACATCATCACTTTTTGGGCCTTACTATAAGTATAACTAACTTTATTGTTGTTTCCATTGATAAATCTAGGAGTCACTCTGCTTCACGCATGGGGCGAGGCCACTTCCGTCCAATGGACCGCCGCACCTGGATGGTGGAATATGGGCGCGGCTTTATACCCTCCACCCTCCCCTTTGCTGTCTCCGACACCATCTTTAGCACCCAGGACTTCTATACCCTCTACCGAGTTGTCAGGATCTATGGAGAGGCACTGTTCCAGGAACTACTTTGTGCTCTTGGATGATGTTGATTAGTCAAGATAGTTATGATGATAGGTAGCAGATTCGTCTTTACCAGGGGGGTGTTTCACAAAGATCTTAAGTTGAACTTATCTCTAAGTTGGACTTAACAATTATGGAAAGCCATTTGCATCCTTGAAAATATTTTGTAAAACTTATTCTAAAAGGCATAAAATGTTGATTTAAATCATTCATATTTTCTATTAACATGGGAGATTTCATGTTCTTGATGTGGAATTTATGAAAAGTCTAAACTTGTAATTTTGCTTTTGAATATATTTCATTATAAGGCTACAAATGGCTCTCCATAATATTTAGAGTTAAGTTTGACTTAGAATATTTTTTAAACACCCCCCTGGACCTGTATTCTACTATAAAAGATTTCAACTGGGTCTAAGTTGGGATGAGTTGTGTGAAACAGATGCAGGATTATATTAATGCTTTGTTGTTCAGGTGTAGACTGAGCCTAAACCTGGAACCCATGTTTAAATTTGTAGTAGAATGCAGGTCACAGAGTTTTGCCAACTTGCATGTAGTTACAGTAATTGATTACAGCAGTGGCAGATCGGGCAAGGGGTGGGATGTTAAAAAAAAAACTATTTAATTTTGTGATTCCCAATTAAACAATTGTAACACTGTGCTACCTTACTATGACACATTTGACCAAACTCTGTGTACAAATGGCTCTGACAGTTTGTACCAGAGCCATTCATACACAAGAGTTGGGCCAACAAGAAATTAAGATGTGTCATATTGCTACCCAGTTCACTAAACCCATGTTTTCTAGACTCTGTATAGCTGGCTCTGATACAAATGCAGTGCCATTGATTAGGAGAGTTTAGCCAAATCCTGAATCCTGGTTGGAGTTGAGCACAGTATGTTGGTTAAGCACATAACAAAAGAAGATACCGGTATGCCATGTCATGACCAGCTGAATCCAAGTTGGCCAAACTCTGTGTATAACTGGCTTTGACACATGTAGGTAGTACAATGTTGTCTCCCTGTGGTAAGAGGAATCAAGAATCAGATGTGTTCATTCTTTACATTTTGAAATGAGGGTTTTAGAGCATGAATAGTGCACATTGTGATATATCTTCATTTTTTCCCTCCATAGGTGTTGGGTAGATATGATACTTGCTTCTTTTTTGCGAAATTCGGTAGCTTGAACTAGATGGAATAGGAAAAGTTGAAATACAAATAGAATTGCCCCCTCCCCCTTCTCTCTCTCTCTCTCTCTCTCTCTCTCTCTCCCTCTCGCTACCTCTCTCTCTCTCTCTCTCTCTCTCTCTCTCTCTCTCTCTCTCTCTCTCTCATATATATTTGTGATGATAATTTTAGGCCTCCAAAAGCAACACATTTTATATAAAATCTTAAAGTGAGATATTCAGTTCTATAATCTTCCATTACATGTATACTTCTTTCAGTATTATTAGCTAAGTCATTTTGAAACTTAGCTTTCCAATTTCAGTCTTATCAATTTATTGATGAAATCTTGCTATAATGAAGTAAAATTGGCAGTATTTTATGCAATATCGGTAAACACTAAACAGGGTTATTTCTGTGAAATTTCACTATACCTACCTCATCATGCTTGCCTTAGTGACACTATACAAAGGTACACAGTTTTACCATGAATGATTTTATGAAGATGAAAACAAAAAAGAAAAACAAATTGTGCAACTGCCTATTTTAAGTGAACGTAATTTTACATTTCATTCATGTCACATATAATGCCTTAACTAAATATCCATGATTCCATATACAGTTAATAAAAGAAATATTCATACTTGTACATTTGATGGTTCATTTTTATGTTTTTCATAACTCAAAAATGAAAGGTGGACTGGTTGAATTAGGGCCTTTGTTGAAGACTGTTAGATTTTCAATGTGTCACATTCTCAAGAAACATAAATTGAGACGAATCAATTTTTCACATAATAATACAAATCTGGGTAAGGGTATGAATAATTTAGTTATTGTATTTTTCCAATTCTGATACAGGGCATGATGATCTTTGTGACTACTGTGTGCTTTCAACTTCACAATCAATATTTTTTCCAATATTTTGAGTGGAAAGTAATGTGCAATGCAGTGAAGGCTACAGGCCTAGATTATATGGCAGTATTCATTAATTCTTGTGTATTAATCGTATTTGTACATTTTGATATTTTAGGTCATGAAGACTTGTTTTGTCATCCTTTCTTATCAATTGATCATCATTAAAAATTGATAGAAATTTGAATCAAATGTGATGTTTGTTTTTTTCTGGTTGTGTGTAGGCTTATTTTTACTTGATTATGTCCAAATATGCTGTATCCATTATAGTTATAAAAAAATTGTATCATTTAAATGAGGGATGACACATAAAATTCATGTACGTTATAACAAGTCAAACATCTTCTAATACGTCCTGCTTTGCACTTCTATCTTCTTCTTTTTTAAACCACACCTGCTATGGATTGAAGGTGTAAAGATGGGGGAAAGAATATTGAAGCAAATGTATAATTTAGTTTAACAGGTTCTAGGACAATTACTCCCTGGACAATTCCCCCCCCCCCCCCCCCCCCCCCCCCGTTCAATTACCAGTGGGACAATTACCCCCCAATGACAATAATCCCCAAAAGGACATTTACTCCCCTTCCTCCCTTAAAAATACTCCCTTGGACAATTACCCCCCCCCCCCCCCCCTCAACAAAAATAATAATGATAAAATAAACAAAATCTGCTTTTATTAAAACCACTTCTTAGGGTGGACTTCCCCTTTGATTAACAGGGGGTAAATTTTCGTCTCATTCAGTTTTCTTTTACCACTTGCCAGAAAGACGTCGGTGTTCACTGTATTGCAAATGATCAAGAGAGGGAGACGTGCAGCAAAATCATAGTGATCCTAAAATTAAATATCTCTTATGAGTAAAATGCAGAGGCTCATATTCTGTAAGAAAAAAAAGCCCATTCGGCCGATAAAGGGGGAAGCCCCCGCCACTTCCCTTGAGAAAGAAAACATATATTTGAAGGGATCTTAAAAATACATAATAGACAAATAAGTTAAAAGAAGATACCCTTAATTAAGATCAAAATATAACGTAATCCTCTAAAAACGAAATGAGGCACCCCACATTCCGAGGCTCGCTTCCTTTTGGGGACTCCTCAATTGGGAGCACGTACGGCTGGATTCCGGTCAGGAAAAAAAATCAAGGTTCAATGTAAACATAATAAAAATGTAAATAAAATTGCTCGAGGAACAGACGTATGCTAACTGTTTGCTAAGACGATAACAAAAACTGTCGAGAGATCATTTCAAGGGTAATTTATGATAACTATTGTATTTCCTAATTCCTGGTGAAGTTTTATATAGTATTACACATATCAATATATCACGTTTGTACATTGATTTTAACTCTGACATTTTGACCACTGAAAGTTTACAGCTGATGCTTTTATCTCTGGCATTTTTTTAACCTCTGACATTTTTGATTACCCCTGACTCTTTTTATATCTGACATTTTTACATTTATTTTTATTTCTAAATTTGTTTTTCCTCTGACATTATTTCCTTCTCTGACATTTTTACGTTTGTTCCCGCCATTGTGTTTTGTTTCGTTTTTTTGCTTTTTTATATCAAATTTTGTCTGTTTGTGTGTTCACTCTGGTCCACCCCCCCCCCCCCCCCCACTCCGGGGTCGGAGGGACCGCATTCGTGTTCCCCAAATCACCGGTATCTAGGAGTTCTTTTCGCGCGACAAAGTCCTGTCCGAGAATTGTATTTTTAAAAAAAATGGGGGGGGGGGGATATATGACGTTTCGCCCAGAGATTTCTTTAAAACGGGGGCATTTTCTTTCTCTCCCTTTTTCTTTGCACTCCTGAGAAATGTAAAAAGGGGGTTATAAATATCTTGAATATCAAAGAGCAGTGTTCCGGATTTAGGCGGGTCTCCAAGGCAGGAAGGGGGGTTCAGAAATGTTGGCAGCCCTGAGAAACGGTGTGTTTTTCATGGGAACAAGCATACGCGTATCCTTAATAACTCTAAGGGGGGCTCTGGTCCAGTGGCGGATCCAGGGTGGGAGCCCGGAGGGCTCGGGCCCCCTCCCCTGGCCCCAAAAATAGTGTTTTAAAAAAGATGGTAACGTTAATTTTACCTTTAAAGAGAAGAAGACGGGCCCACTCCCCTGGCGCTCAAGGGCGGGGGGGGGGTATAGAGTTTAAAAAATAGAGCTTCAACCCCCCCCCCTCCCCCCATCCGCTGAGCACGAATTGGGCCCCTATCCTCGCCACCGGCTGGATCCGCCCCAGTGCTCTGGTCACTCACACATATTTCTTGATAGAGTATATGGTGCATGAGGGATAACTTTCTTCTATAATAATATTACTCTTCCTCCACCTCCTCCTCCTCTTTCTTCTTATTCGATTCCCTCTTCTGCTTCTTCTTAATTTATGCGTCTTCTTTTTAATTCTTTTCTTCTATAATTCTTCTTCTAATTCTTCTTCTTATTTTTCATCTTTTGATCATCTTCTTCTTCTACTAATTCTTGTTATTTTTCTTCTTCTTCGATGTCCTTCCTCTTCCTCTCTTAGATCCAACGAAATTTTATCAGAGGGATCGAGGGGGGGGGGGGCGCTTATAAGTTTATCAGTTTTTCGTGCGTGTGTCTATTCTTGGTATGTAAAGCCTATTATTTTCTGCCCCCAGAGACTGCTCCTTTAAAGCTCCCTCACCAAATTTGTTTGAGCCTCAATTATGTCTATCAGATTGATAGATCGTTTTACCTTATAGTTTAAAATCATCCCGAAATTACAATGAATTCATTAGATTATTAAATAAACATACGTTGAAAACTATCTCCCTTTAAAATAGAAGAATTCTAATATTGATAAATAATAGGGTGGGTGGGGGTTTTGGGTTTTGCTCTTGGGTGGGTGGGCCGGGGCATGATACTGTGTAAACGATGTTGTTTCTATATTATACCAATATGTTAAGAATTTAATTTGTGGTATATCATTTTCTCTCATTTGTTTTGTAATGTCCTATAAACTCGACCCCTCGGTAGAACAGCTGTGCTGTACTGGCACAGCTGAGCAGGGCGATCTATCCAATGCTATCTTCTCATGTTATCATCTATATTGTTATTTATATGTTTTTATATTGGTGAATAAAATCAAATCCTATCAAATCAAATATAGTCTCTAATGGCAACTATAGCTGCCCCCGGTCCCATGTATTTAATTTAGTCCATGCAATTATTTGCTGTTTGTTTGCTTAGTATCGGTCACAAAATCGTGAGAATGACTAATAGCCTTGATTGCATAATATTGTATTACAGCCGTATGACTATGAGCTCATATTATTATTATGGTCCATGATGAGTGAGCCAGCTCTGTTCAGTCAAAGGTCACACTAGGGCAAACCCGGATGAGTGACGTCATTCATAAAACTCGCCATCTTTTGGGTCTCATCTGTATATAATTTGTAGGTGTGTGAAAACACCCCCAGAAAATTCATCAAAATGTAAGTAATTGACAAATATTATGCCAATCGTTTCTTATATTATTAATTCTGTGAATGTTACTTGGATCTGAATGTCCTTCTTCTGGTATTTTATGGGGGCAAACCGGTAAAATAGCAGTGTATGCCGTGTATCCCATTCAAGATTGAATGAACTGCCGCGGCGACAGTGCGAATGACATTGCAGTGCATTGATTATTGTATGTGTGGGAGCTGAATGAATGCCGAATACACGCGCAAAATAACGGTGCAGTAGCCTACTGACACAAAAGAGTGAAACCGAAACTAATCTACTGGCTAGAAATACTGTAGTGTAGATATATTATAATTGGTATTTCAAATATTCTAGTAGTTCTAGTGGGCTACTCATATAGTAATTTATATCTTAACTTAATCATTAAACCAAACTAGATCTAGACTAGACTGAAATTAAAAATTCTTGTTACTTTTCTCCAATTTCTTTACCCGCACTATTGACTTGTTGTGTAGGCCTAGCCTAGATCTAAAGCTAAAGTAGGCTAAAGGAGATTGCCACATCAATAAACGGATCCGGGCTAACTCGGACTAGGGGACAACTCGGCTCGGGCAGAGCAGAGGTAGGGCTTAGGATTGATCAATACACGCCATAGTTCACATAATGTAGCTGTACATGGGATCAAACATGAAACGTGATTGGCTGATAGTACATTTACAGTGATTTTCATTGGAGAATCAATGAAAAATTGGCGTGTTGGGGGCAGAACCTACTCTTTGCATAGTTGTCAGAATAGTGATTAAGAGGTACATGTATGTTACATATATGTAAGGCCTTTAAGGATATGTTTACTCAGCGACTTAACATAGAATTAGAATTCAACATAGTTTTCAGAATACCGACCCTGTCCATAGATGATAATGAGTGCAGGGAGTTTGATCCCCGGTGGGGTCACTCAATGTGACTTCCGGACCGCATGACCGTTACCAAAATCGCGGAAAAAGGGGTCGATTTCAAGCAATGTCTGCGGACATAATATTCCTCAAAATATAGAAAATAGGGGTGCACAGGTGTCCTCAAAATTGATGAAAAGGGGTCAGGAAAGGGAAAAGAGAAAACCGTGAAGAAAAATTCTTGGAGCCGAGTCTTGTCCTTGAAATATGGTAAAATAGGGGTAAATTTGCGAAAGTGTCCTTACAATCAGGAGCTCTTGTAGCGCAGTAGAATATATACCTAATGTTGGATAGTTTCTGCGCTTTATAAATGTACTATTATTATTATTATTATTATTACAATCCTATATATAGGGGTATTCCAAAGTTCGATTTTGTCTTTGTTTTGACGTAAAAAAGGGGGTTAAATTTCACAAAATGTCCTTGAAGTTGACCGCAAAAGGGGGGTATTTGCATTTGTGGTAACCAGGCCTCTCGCCAAGAAATTAAAAACGCGTGGCGCGACCCGAGGGAAAATTTGACCCCCCCCCCCCCCCCCCCCCCCAAAAAAAAAAAAAAAAAAAAAAAATTGATTTTTTTTTTTTTTTTTTTTTTTTTTTTTTTTTTTTTTAATTTATATTTATTTTTTACAAGTATTACAAGTAATTTGATGAATTTTTAATACCATACCTGCCAACCCTTACGAATAATTCAGAATATTCTGTTATTTGGAGATTTCTATGACCAGAAAATCCGGAATTTTCTGATTTTTCAAAAAAATACGCGAGGGCCATGGTGGTAACAGTCATACGTGTCACCCTCTGCGGGGGAGTGACTCCACCGGGGTTTGATCACTTTCAAGTTTTAATTCCCTGCACCTGATGACTTGATCATCATGTTCGTGTCAGTGCGCGCTGTGCTGCTGTTGTCACGTTGTTAATGTCAACTTCATTCACAAACAATCACATTCATTCACTGAATGTTGCATTATCACTGAAGTGAATGACATACTACTGACGTGAACGTCATTGAGGCAATACCATTGATGCTTTTTTGTCAAGGCCAGGGTCTGGAGACGGGAGTAATAACCCAAACAGCTAGCGTTAACTTTAATACGGGCTTGGTTATATTATAATACAAAATAGGATATTGATACCACCTAGCCTTAATTGGTACCCGTTTGCCTGCGTGAAGAGCAATGTAAACAGAACCCCCTTAAAATGAACAACATCAACATTTAACAACAATGCAGTTTTTCCAAGCCAAATTGGCCTCTGGAAGACTGAGGTCAGGAGTAGGCCTGTAACAGATGATCGGATCAGGGGTGATTGGATAATAATTTCCGATCGCCGATCAATAAAAATGATCGCCGATTTTAAAAAAACAAATTTTATTATTTTTTTTTAAATGTCGAAAATTTTCAAGTTTTTGGCTATCTAATGCTATAAAAAAATTCATAGCTGGGATTATTTTGTCATGTGGAGTTGTTGTAGTTTGTTGATATTTAGTGCAGTATCATCACTTTGAAATTAATAATATTGGTCAAAGAGAAGAGGCAAAACATGCGGGCCGCCTTCTTGGATTATAATGCATACCGGTACACTGTACCTACATTATAATCCAAGATGGCGGCCCGCAGGTTTTGTCTCTTCTCTTAGACCAATATTATTAATTTCAAAGTCATGAAAAGAAACTAAATATCAACAAACATGGTCTACAACAACTCCAAATGACAAAATAATCCCAGCCATGATTTTTTTTTTGAGCATTTGATAGCCAAAAACTTGAAAGTTTTTGGCATTAAGAAAAAAAAAAGAAAAAAAAAAATCAGCCAATTTTTTTTTTTGTCGATCTTCCGATCCGATACCGATCAAAGGTGCGAGGGTGTCGCTCCGATCTTCATATCCGATCAGAGCCCCAACCTTCAGGGTAAGTCAGGAGCACATTGCATTGCTTAGTGTGTGGATCATTGCGGTATACCAACAAATGTGATGAAATTGAATAATAATAATAATATATAACATTTATTAGGCGCTTAATACAGGTGTTTCTAAGCGCACCATTGTCTGACTTAAAATTACCAACTAAAACTTGTAATAAACACAAAAAATATAAATATGTTCTTTATTCAATAAATCAAGCATATATAATAACAAAAATAAAAATGAGAACAAACATAAGGTCAAACAAACATAAGGTCAAACATGAGATCAAACAAAATATCAAACAAACAAAGAATAAGATGGTGTGCACCTCCTTTGACCGACTCACAACTGCATAATAGCATTCATGAATTAAAAAGGAGCGTTTTCAGTAAGGACTTAAACTGGTCAAGAGGATGGGTATTATGAATATGCGCTGGTAATTTATTCCAAAGGATAGGGGAATTTACTGAAAAGGCTCGATCGCCATATTTTGTAACAGAACGAGGTCCAAGGGTTAACTGCAATTGAACAGAAAAGTAGATAGCTATTTTTGTCATGAGAAGTCTGTTTATCACATTTTCACTTTGAGCAAAGCTAATCCCTTTGCAGCAGATGTAGATGTTACGGAACTGCTCTTCATGCAGGCAAATACAATGTAGGTGCCAATTAAGGTTAGGTGTAATCAGTATCATATTTTGTAATTATAACCAAACTCTAAAATGAAGGTTAGCTGTTTGGGTTATTTGTTTCATGACAAATCTACTTATCATATTTCCACCGTGCAGCAGATGTAGATAATATGGAACTTTGCATTCCAAATGGGAGACTTCTGTGAAATAGGCTACCAAAAATCTCGACAAAAGTCTTTGACTATACAGACAGTCTAAAGTTTATTTCTCTGGTACATTTTTATTTACTTCATATACAGTGTATGTCGTGGATATTTTGTGATGGTTAAGTAGGAGTGGGTACACTAAAACTGATTCTATTTATGTTACGCTAATGACGATATTTTAACTTTTTATTTTATCGAAAAAATAAAAGGTACGGTCGGTAAGGCAAAAAGCCAATTTTTAATTTCATGTTAATTTTAAACTTGTATTTTATGCTTTCTTTTAAAGGAGAGGTCCAACCAGAAAATAGTTGGTTTCATTAAAGGAAAATCAAACCTTTATAACAAAATTGCTCTGAAAGAAAGCAGAAAAATTACATTAATGAAAGCCTGAACGAATCCCCCCAAAAAAATCAGAAAGTTGTAAATGGTAATTTCAAATTGGTCCAATCTGTTTTGTCACTGCGATGTACAATTGTACATTTTATGTAATTATGTATATTTTTCAAAATATATTACTCAGGAGGGTCTTTTATTTTTCAGGATGTACATGTATGACAATATGATATCCCTAATTTATTTTTAGTAGTACCCCAATGGAGAAGGCACTTAATAGAAAACAGAAATTAATTATATTTTTGCACATGACAAACAGGAGAGTTTTCTGGGACAACATCACAATATATTGACCAAATTTAGGGATGTCATACAGTGTATTCAAACATTGAAGAAGAAAAAATATATAATAAAAAAAACAGATTTATTTCAATATTTTGCCATTCTGTTTCTCTTATTTTTCTGCTTTCATGAGAATGAACTCATTCCAAAGCTGAATAATGAGGGGGAAAAGATCAGTTATTAAGTATGAAGGGAATTTTTTCGACCTTTAAGCCTACATGTACATGTACAGTATATGCCTGAATATATATATATTTTTTTAACAGATATTTCTGCATTTATTGATAAATCGAATATAAAACATTCAAATAACAATAATATAATTGATTTGTATATAAAGAGTTTTTACACAACGGCGTCCATGTACATGTACATGGCGCTGTTATACATGTAGGAATATGTAGGAGAATAGAATATATAGTACCGTTAATGCTGCATAACTGAAAGTCACAGAAGTCGAGTTCTCCCCAAGTCAAATAAAAATGTTGACCAAACTATGCAAAACGTGTACCGGTATTTGCTTCCTCTAATATGAATTTTGTCGAGTTTCCCAAAGTCAAAACATTTTATTTGACTAAACTATGCAAAAACATGTGTTATATAATTTTGCATACCGGCACCAGTATTGAGTCAAACTATTTTTGCATTCCCAACATTTTGACAATGTATGCAGAGTTCATTGTGTACTGTACATGTAGATGCAAACAATGTACATATTTGAGTGTAATTTTTTTGTCTTCATGTACCTTTCCATGGCAATTTGGCCAGTCTGTACCTACAACCTACCTACGCATGATCATGTAATGTACCTTAATTTTTGTTGGGTCTAATCCGTTGTTCTTAATTATGTCTGCCTGCGGCCAGCCTTATACCACGCAAGCAGTCAGTCCTACGTTCTACTCCTATTGCAGTCGACAGCTGTGATTAGCAATATGCATGACTGAGGGGAATTGGAGAGAATTACATTGGGTCCACGCTGATACAACCTCACAATTAGGGTCTGATACAGTGTGTGTATGAGCCGTGCTCTGCAGCAATTTTGCAGATGTTGGGAGGGGGGGGGGAGGGTTATCTATTCATAATGAGGTCGTTTCGATGAGGAGATTGCCCTCGTTATACGTTGCACAGGTATCAACTGAACCTTGACATGATCTTTTAGACTAAAAATGGAGAGAACAAAAATAGTGTACAAATCCTTGTCATGTACATGTACAGGAGAATTGTACTGTGATTGTGAGATATTGTGTGTTGCAATGTGTGTGTGCGTGCCCTATTTCAAAAGAGACACAGGACTGCTGTGGGTTGAATTTAATAGACAAAGAAATTGTATTTTAAAAGTCAAAATGTAAGTTGTACTTTTCATTGAATGTGATTTTTCAGCAATTTTTGTTAGGTTGTCAACATAATAATGATAACAACATTTATAATGCGCACATATCCACCCCAATTTACATGATGAATAGCGGGCCTTATGACTAGCGAGGTAACCCTGTGTGTTTTGCCATCCAAGCGACTCTTGTATTGTACTTCTACTTATTATTGAATGTGATTTTCCAGCAATTTTTGTTAGGTTGTCAACATAATAATGATAACAACATTTATAATGCGCACATATCCACCCCAATTTACATGATGAATAGCGGGCCTTATGACTAGCGAGGTAACCCTGTGTGTTTTGCCATCCAAGCGACTCTTGTATTGTACTTCTACTTATTATTGAATGTGATTTTCCAGCAATTTTTGTTAGGTTGTCAACATAATAATGATAACAACATTTATAATGCGCACATATCCACCCCAATTTACATGATGAATAGCGGGCCTTATGACTAGCGAGGTAACCCTGTGTGTTCTGCCATCCAAGCGACTCTTGTATTCCATGTGTACGTGATATAATTCAAAATTCATTTAATAAGCAAATTTTCCCTCACAACTGTATAATTCTACTAGAACTCAAAATGAACACTAACCTACATGTACAGTGTAATTCATTGTGTCACATAAGAATTTGCAAATGTACATCTACATGTAGATTACATGCATGTTGACATGTGTCATCTTTAATACTAGAGTACCGGTAGCTCTTTGGATATACATGTACAGTATATACCAGTACTTGTACATTACTTATAATAGCTTTATGATTCAGAATCTGTGTTATGCCAATGACTGATTGATATGGCAGACACATGATACTGTACAAACTAGCCATTAGTTGCTAGTACATACACAGTACATGTACATCATAGGCTAGATACATAATGCATCACTTCCAAATGTGTGGACCGTGTACATGTTTACATGTACATCCTAGAGTTGGGTTCTTTACATGAATGGAGTATACTGACTACATGTAGTACATGTACATAACAAAGCATGCCCAAAAAGCATTACTCCCATTTCGATATTGATTCTCTTAAGCTTTTGTTATTAATTAGACTTGGCCTTTGTTTGGGCCCTCCTGTATTCCAATGGGCCACAAAGCTGACGTCCTTACCCTGTAAGCTAATTATGAAGAACAAAGAACACTTAAAATTCACACACTTGGCAGATCTGGAATATTGATGTAGTATAATGTCTACAGTATGTAATCTTTGTTAGTACACACATGCCAAGCACAGTTCAACAGCATAACAAGCATGAATATTTACATTGCACATGTACAATGTACATGTACATATAGGTTCACATGTACATGCACACATAGACGTACTGTATACAGTACATTGTACATGTAATGTGTACTTATTACAGCTGTAGAGAATGTAAGTACATGTACATGTATGCAGCACACTGTTCATGTACATTTACAACAATTTAGTACAAATGGAGCTATTTTCTTACTCCTTCTCCCCTGTTCTGAACATACACGGAAGGGGATAGTCATGGCTATTGACATTCAATTTCTTGCATTATTAAAAATCATGCATAAAATCAAAATGTATACAAAGTATTCCGAGGTAAAACACAACATACAATAAATGAATTTTGTTAAACAAGAATAATAAGGCCATCATTGAAAAACCTATTGCATGATAAAACATACATTTACATGTAGTATATGTAGAACTGTCCAATTAAGAAGAGAGGGAGAGAGGGTAAGCAGAGAGGGAGGGAAAGAGAAAGAGAGAGAGAGAGAGGGGGGAAAGGAGATAGAGAAAAAGGGCAAGAGAGAGGGAGGGAGAAAAACACAGGGAGAAAAGGAGAGAGAGAGTGAGAGAACAATTGGACATGAGGAAGAATAACTTCTATTTTTTTATATGATAAAAAAATGGATGCTAAGCTATTCTGACTTGAGTATTTTACTATTTTTCTATCTTTATTTTTTTCTTCCAATCTAGGGCTGCACCACCACCACCACAACCAGCGCCCTCCAACAAGAGGTTACAACAGACTCAAGCACAAGTAGATGAGGTAAATCGTTGGGAAAATTCAAAATACCCCACCATACGAGTAACCTATTAACGGGGACCTATATAATACAAGCTTTGCTTTTTAGTAGATCCCCCACTTTATTGATTGATTTATGTGATTGTATCCTCTGTTTTAACTATCATCATGTTCATTATGTTATCTTTGATGAAGTGAAATAAATAAACTTGAAACTTGAAACCTTAATCCCAACCCTGACCCTAAATCTACATCTAACCTTAACCCTACATGTCACCTTAACCCTACATGTCACCTTAACCATAAAAGCCAAACCAAATTATAACCCTAAACCTAAATTCAAACACCAAACCTTACCCCATTCATAGTGGATATATTCTCTGTTTAGATGAAAGCAATTCATACTACGGTCCAAATATAGCAATTTTGCCTATTATTTCATTGTTACATCATGTTGCTTAGACAAGAGTGTGAACAGGCGCTACTATATGTTCCGTCTGCATGCATGTAGAGGCTACCGTATTTTGATATGGCTTTTACAACGAACACTCTAGTCTCAACTGCATGTTAAAATTTAAATCCGGTCTACATGTATATGTTCCGTCTGCATACATGTAGAGGCTATTTTGATATGGTTTTTACAACGAACACTCTAGTCTCAACTGCATGTTAAAATTTAAATCCGGTCTACATGTATATGTTCCGTCTGCATACATGTAGAGGCTATTTTGATATGGTTTTTACAACGAACAATCTAGTCTCAACTGCATGTTAAAATTTAAATCCGGTCTGTTCCTTATGACATGAAATCCCTCGTCTCTTTCGTAAGAATGCAAAGACACCTTCCAAAAATGGCTTTTTCAAAATTGATTAGCTCCATGAACATCTTGCACTTGAAACAGTTAAGTTGTCGGGAAGCCTTTGTATGTGTCCTGTGATAAATAAAATGTGGCACAGGAGAATATTTTTTTGGCATAAAAAACATGAACACATAGACACGCATAATGCACTGCTACATGTGCATTGTGCAATGTCCATATGAAGTATACATGTATATATTTGCCTTTGCCTAATACTGATGTTCTATTACTTGCTTACAGGTTGTGGATATTATGAGAGTAAATGTTGACAAAGTTCTTGAGCGAGATCAGGCGCTATCAGTCTTGGATGACCGTGCAGGTGAGAAACCGGTCCTCCAAATCTCGGGTCTTTTATTTCAACGGAAGAATGTAAAGGTGTTGTTGTAATGATAAATAATAAAAAATATTGGGTCCTTGTATAGTACTCCTGGCGCTCCCGATTATTACCCTGGCTTTAGCATGCTCTAGCATTTCAAGGAATTAATTCCTACCAAGTACCCATTAACATGTACATCACCTGGGTTGAGTGTGGCAAAAGTAGATCAATGTCCTGCCAAAGGACCGCTGATTTTGTTAATACACTTAAAATCTCCTTACACAAGTAATTATAGTTGCAATTTTGAATAGGAGATATAAACGTCAGATACCACATACATGTACATGCGTATAGAAAGCAATTTTTTTTTTTGGGGGGGGGGATTTTTCCCAATTCAGATAGCCTTGCATGCACTATGTAAAATTATGACTGAGATTCCTCACTCTATGTTTACATTATTTAATGTTTGCATTCTCCGTAATATTCTGTCGTTTTCAGATGCCCTCCAGCAAGGAGCATCACAGTTTGAGACGAATGCTGGCAAACTCAAACGGAAGTACTGGTGGAAAAACTGCAAGATGATGATCATCCTAGCAATTATTATCATTGTCATTTTAATAATCATTATCGGTAAGTACCACATTTTGGATAGAAAAGGGAATGATTTTTTTCTTCATATAGGTTTCTGTACTTTCATTCTCATTCCTTTGAAAATGTTTTGGTTTTATTCACAAAACATGTTTATACTGACATTTATTAACAATTAATTTATTGTTAATTTTCATGAAAATAAGTTTTTCTTGATGATTTTGACTGTTTTTCAGAGTTCTCATCATTTACAGAGCTATATGCAGATTTTACCCACTTTAATTCTAATATTATCTCATCAACATTTAATTTTTCATTTATCTTATTCATCAAAATACGATTTCTTCTCATTAATTCTGGAAATCAGTTTCTTTATTATTGATCAACTTTCAAGAATTATATGATATGGTTAATGCCATTAGAAATAATTTTGCCTGCTTTTGAATAATATTTAATTTGTTGTTTTGCACAGTGAGAAACAGAATTGCACTATCAAACCAACAGAATTGCACCATCAAACCAAATTAACAAATTCAAGCCATGTATTTGAACTGACATGCACTAAGGAAAATAATAATTCTTTCATTTATAGTCACTGTTTAACCTCCATTGCATGATCATACTGTCCTTCATCAATTCCTTGTGTGGATAGCAGAAGAGTTGCGTCGTTCTATTGCATTTTAAAAGTAGAAGGTTGTTGGCATTCAAATATTGTTAACTTTAAAATTATGTGCCTATTTGATACAAAACTAGTCAGTTTTCATCTCTTTTTTTTCCATTGATAAAGCAAGAAATCCCTGTCATGTTTAAACAATGGTATAACATGTATCGAGCAATCAAAACTCCGGCTTACTTGAGTGTTTACGCCCTATTTGCCGGCCGCACCATGAATTTTCTCTCCATCTTTTCGTTTCCAGTCATCAATAACCCTTTTAACCACATTTGTCTTTACTTCATCTCTTTTTTCTGGGGACATTTTTTCAATGCATTTGCAGTGTGGGCCACACAGGCTTAGAAGGTTCGTAAAGGGATGTTGCCTTGTAAAAAGTGAAGCATGTTTTATGTTCTGTGCATACATGTATGTATTTTGGAATGTCCGTATTAACATAGTGTGTCTTGTAATTGCTCTTCAAACATAACATGATGGATGTTAAAGATGTTTGCGACAATACTGCCGTAAGCTATACTGTATAAATGCTGTTATTTTTGCGTGATTAATTTTTTCGCGCTGAGCCACCCCAAGACATAATATATACCTAGGTTTTTAAATTCGCTTTTCACGCAATTAATTCCACTCGAAACATCCATAAGAAGTCATGCTTATAAATTTAAGGGTTTGAATATTCGCGGACACTGAATTTAGCCCGAAATTTGCAAAATTTACAGTATTCTGGAAATAATTAAAAATTGTAAATAACAGCACCATCAAAAAATGATCAAAAATAGATCCATTGAAAGAGACTGGCAGTTCAAAATTATTATTATTATTATTATTTTTTTTTTTGGGGGGGGGGGGGGGGTCATTGTTAATTTCTTCGAGTCATTTGTCCTTGTAAAGCAGATCTGTGTATTTCTATGGATAACTCTCTTTTTAATTTGGAAATATAAAGAAATAGAAGTCATTAAAAGACTTAAAAGCAGAGGATTTTATAAGGTTGTACGTCAGTTGTATACTGTCCAAATCCGTTTTTTAAAAAAATATGTCCTAATCAATGTAGTGCATGTACTGTATGTTCTGCACCAAGCCAGCATGTGATTTTGGTCTCAATAAGAGCATGCATTGTTACCATTTAGTGTTCGACTGTTTGTGTCATGTTGTTTGATTGACCTGTTGTGCATCTACATGTATTGCAATAGACCATTCCACAAAATTGAATGCATTCCGCCACACTAACTGTTACATGTATACGCGTTAAAACCCAAGAGCTTGCCAGAGGTTTGCCCAACATCACAGCACCTAGTGTACATGTATGCAATGTGCACTCTAACTATTGAAATTATCTTCACAGAAGAATGCAATAATCAGGAAGCTCTAGGGGGAACAGACATATATATGAATCTAATGCATATTTGAACTGGTCTGGTATACAGTATGAACAGTTAAACCAAGATCTCACATTTCCAATAGTGATAAATTTAATAGTTCTTCTACGCAGTTCCAAAAAATTCTTCAAACAACATGCCTTTTGAGGAAGATGATAATTGCACATCTTTCTAGTGTGTTTTATTTGGACCTTTCAATGCAGTAGGAAAAACGGGCTAAACTACCGCAGACTCTTACCAAAATATTGGCATGGCATACATAGTAGGTGTACAATACATGTCATTATTAATCAATATACATGTATTAAATATTTCTGCTGGTCCTTTGCCATCAGCTTGTTCTGCTTTACATGTATGTCATAATTTATTGTGCTCCGTCACTTGTACCTCACTACCAGTAAATGTAAAATTTGATAGCTACACGTACATGTAAGGCCCTTTTTGTTCCACTTTTCCCCCTGTTATCATTATTTTTTGCTACCATAGAAAATATTGTACTGTAAAACAAGACTGTCTACTCATTAAATGTGATTCAGAAACCCTTTCGAGATATCGTTTCATATTTTGTTTCATAGCTGAATATCTTTCAATTTATAGCCGTGAAAAAATATACCAAATAGAAAGGGCAAAAATTTCTGCACACGCTGTGTCCATGTTTGTTGCATGATCGTGTTATTAAACACCATTAATTTTGGAAAGGAAAATAATTTCTAACATATATAGTGTTATGGGACCCTAGAATGTGTACCACATACTTATTCACCTGTATTACGTAGGAATTTTGAATGGTGAATGTAAATTGATACTGTGGTCAAACAAGCATTCGGTACATTTGACATTTGAATTTGCAGAATTTGTTTATGTGCTGTTTGCATGTTTCGTCCTGTCAACATGAGCAGAAAGATCACCAATCAAATCTCTGGGATTTTGTCGTTAGGCTATTTTCGGAAGAGAGGAAATCTGTGTAATCGAATTTCTGAGACATTGCTTAAAAAAAGTGATACCTATACAGGAAATACCCGATTAAGGTCCAAGAATTTGAGGATTTTTTTTATCATCTTTCGCAGCTTTCTCTCTCTCCCTCCCCTCCCATTCAGTTTAATTTAGATCATTGCTGTGACACATCTGTCACGTGTGCTAATGTGATACCTTAAACGTCCTTTTATATATTTAAAAAATGGAATAAAACAAAATCAGACCAAACACTCATATTATAGGAAACAGACAGTGAAAAGTTCAGACGTTTTGTTATGGCAAATTAACGTAGAATTTCTAAGGTAAGTTAGTAGGGAATAGATTCGTTTATGCTTGGAATGAAAATCCCTATGCGCGTCTGTTTAAAAAAACCTGTTTAATTGTACATGTAGGGACCAAAATTCATGCAAACTTGAGCTGACTTTTAAATATTCATATACAGTAAATCTCTGTGTATAAGGCGCACCTGTATTTTTTTTTTTGGGGGGGGGATCATTTTCTGTTGTTGTTTTGTTTCCGAAAACCCACGCGGGGAAGGATATTCGTTTAACATCGATGTGCAGTTGAAGGCGCTGATTTGTGCTTGTAGATTTGTCATAAATAATAGTAATAATGTCGTTTTTAGAAGAATGTATAAGATCAGTAATGTAAATTAAAAACAATAGAGTATCTAGGTCCTAGGATGGAACCTTGTGGTACACCATTTGTTATAGAAAAAATTTGAGGAATTATTATTATAAACTACATATTGAGATCTATTAGAAAAATTACTTTCAAACCAAGATGACAGACAAATTTGAGTGTTGTAGTTTCCGAGTGGTGAGTCAACTCACTGATTACTGAGCTGGGAGACATTGCCAGGCATAGCGCCATAAATCGAAACTAAAAAAAAAAATTAATAATAATCTGTACCTGTGTATAAGACACACCCCCGACTTTCATTTTTTTTTCGGCAGCAAAAAAGTGCGCCTTATACACGGAGATTTACGGTACATTTGAACAAAAAAAATGTACATTGTATGTATGTACACATATGATGTAGTAGATTAATCTTCTTTCATTGTAATGTATAAGTTGTGTTAAAGTGTTGATATGCAATGTATTCATTTCTTGTAAATGTGTGCACATTGATCAATGATCTGTTTATCTAACTTTCTAACTTCAGCTGCAATTGTTGTCTAAAAATAATTTATTGATACACATCTGCATACATTTGTGCTTGTCAGTTACCCTATTTCTTCACTTCAACCTACTTGTAAAGTTGTAATTATCTACATATAAATTAAATGTCTTTTTTTTCTTCTTTTGGTATTGGACTGTTTTATAATAATTCAATTTGCATCAGAGGTGCAGTGAAATATTTATCTGCTCCCTCCCTTTGAAATCTTCACTTGCCATTGTGACTAACACATGAACTGTCATCAAGAACCACAACTAAATGGCCCTAACCCGATGTACTTTACCCCCCTACAGCCCCCCCCCCCTAAACCCCAGACCCCTCTGAAATTCAATGAACCATGCATTACATTTTTTTCTCTCCCTCTTCTCTCTGCACTTTGAATTTTCTTTCCATTTTACAGTCGCTATCGTGCAAAGCCAAAAAAAGTAACACACACAGGGAACCAGCTTTAGCACCATCAAAGGAAAAAAAAGGAATATCTCAACAAGTCATCTTCCCCTGGCCGACTCCGACGCATCTCCGCAAGGTCAAAGGTCACCCCGCTCATTTGTCCCAGGTGAAAGGTCATCAGCTGCACACTGAACCTTGAGAGGCAAATATCCTGTGAATCGACCATCTCTACATTTCTGTAAACTTTTACGGGGAAAGTCTATTTTTAATAAGGTAACCGGTGTATTTAAAAGGAATGGTAGTTATCCTTTAAGATGTTATGGGAAGGACTAATCTTAATCTCTCATTTTAAGTTTGACTAATCCCTTTCAGATCAGTTTCATCAAAAGTTTCATGGCCCGTAGCAGAAATTAAAAAAATATCATAGTATATCAGGCCAACCATAATGAGTATGGTTTCAATGTCATTATTATTGTTGTTATTATATCATTCATATAATTATTGTAAGTGATTACTATTCATTATCATTGATAATATTATTGTTGAGAACAGTACATACCCATTTTGAAAAGGGGCTCAGAAAATAGAGAAAAGGCAGTACCAATGCAAAGACTTTGTGAATTATCTGCACATGATTTATAGGCGTTCGGCATCCTAACTCTTTATTTCAATGCTCGAAGCGGGTATTTTTATCACAAACCTGCGCAGAATATTGCCAAATTACGAGTGGAAATTTTTTTTGGAATTGGGACAGTGAACAAATAAATATCATTTTGGCTGCTATCTGTAATTCTTGACCATATTTCCGGAGCATAATATGATATGGTTGTGCAGAAGCACTGCATGCTCTCTGCCGAGCGTTAGTAAGGCATTAACTTCCATGAGGTTAACAGCCTTCTGACTATCAACGGATGAAACGTGCAATCGTGCATGCACAGTGTCAGCCAGATTGAAATGCAAATGAACATTGGAAATGCAAATTAAAAAATGAGATCCGTACCACACATTTGGAGAAGACTAAACAACTCCATCTCTCTTATTTGAAGTTAACAGGGCTGAATCTTTGAAATAGTTTGAATAGAATCGGTATGAAATCGATATGCTGTGTTATTAAACAAAAACAAAAAGTAATGGTGGTTAACTTTAACAAGGTATGACATATATTCCATACGTGGCCCTCTTGAATGAAATAATTATTCTAAATTCTTTACTTTCTGAGCCCTTTTTTAAGACATTCGTTGTAATTTGTAGATTGTAGCGCATATATTTGTAATAAATCAATAAAAAGACAATGAAACAAATTTGTGGTTATTGTATGACGGCGAAAAAAAGGGAAATTTTAGCTACGTTATTCTGTGTATAGCAGTAACGATTCGTTATTTAGAAAATACATGTTATTTAAATAAGAGAAGAGAAATTTAAGCATGTATGTGAATTGTATGTATATATTCTCCTTTAAATCTGCAATCCAAATAACTATATGTAAAGTGTCTTTTGTTTTAGTATATTCAATGTTAGATTTGTATCTTCAACAAACAGATTATTGTATAATTGGTGTTAACCAAGAAAAAACACCACACCCTATTATATATTGGTACAAACAGAATGTTCTGGTAATTTTTATTGCATTATTAAAAATTTATTATATAGTATGTGTTGCCGTATCTAGTAAGTATGCAACTTGTTTAGCATCGTGTAGATAATATTTACGATATGATTTGACTCTTTCAAGAATTTGTTTTCTTCTCAAAAAAATTTGTATTAAGCTTCACATACTAATGTTAACTCATTTGACATTCAGGGTGTTTTTCTCTCACTTTTTTCGTTTTCAGTAAGAAATGGTAGATACAGGCTTTTCTTCCCATTATAGAAGCATAAGTGCAATAAATGCATAATCTATTAAATGGATAGTGATAAAATAGTACTTTAAAGGATTTGTCATTCAAAAAGCGTATTGGGGATATGAAAAACATCTGATTTATGACAAAAATATTTACCAAACTTTTGATTCCACATTCATTTTTCTTTTCTCCCCATGCTGATTAGACATTGTTTATTGGTTATATGGCATTGAAAACTTGTCATGATTCCAGATATTACTGAAATTGCTGCCTCATAAAATGGCAAATTTATGGCACACATGTCAACTGTAAAACAATAAAGTAAAGCAAACGTTGTGTAACAATGTCGCACAAGCATTTTTATGTAGAATGCAAGTTGTATTCACCTATCGACATGCAGGCACTATAATCTTTGAGCTAAAAGTTGTCATCTGTGTAATTATACTCCTCACAAAAAATAGCATACAAAAGCATGATTATAAATTGTGTTGTTATGACTTTATTACAAAAAAAATGTTGTTCCTTGTTGGAAACTTATTTTTACATTCCATTCACTAATTTTGCAAGTTTAAATATCTTCTTGAAGCAGCATCCCTGCCAATGAACCATGGAATGTTTAACGATGCATCTACAAAGTGATAAAGTCCTAAATTATCAACACAAAATAAATCCCTTACTCTGTATGTTCAAATTAATATAAATCAAAGAATTCTTGTTGAATTCTTTGCAAGTTTATACAGTGAATATAAGATGTGATGCCATCTCAAAAACTCTGTCCTACTGAAACTATATGTGATTGAACTGTGATGCAAAAAGTACTTTGTTGCCAAGCTGTATACAAGCTACAACCCTTTACTCTGTTCATACAATGATTTTAAACCGTTGTACGATCCATCTGGTCTGAATGAACCACCGGTGTGAATGAGGATTGTGGGGATGTAGCCCTGGGTCTCTGCCCTTGTTTCACAAAACCATCAGAAGTAAGAGTTTGCCGACATCCCATTGAAGCTTGTGAACAACGTTTCATGGGATGTGAGCAAACTTGTACAAATGATGGTTTCGTGAAACAACGCCCAGATGGATTTGACACCGGATTTAATTCTGGGCAGGAAGAGGGTCGTATTAACATTCCATCTCAAAGTCTATTTCTTTGCGTGGCAGAAGACTAGCATTAGTTTATTTTTTCAAGTTTCCGCTCTTGTATTATAAAAACAAACAAACATGTATACATATATATTGAAGATATTGAAAAAATTCTACTAGAGATGACTAGAAGTTTGAATTGGTGGAGATTGTGTAAAGTTCCGTTTTTGGTTGATTTTATTTTTCCTGTGTTACATTATGTTACTCCATGCTAGAAATTGATTTGATATTTAAAAGAGGATTTTTCTTTCTTCAGAGTGTCCCCCGTTGGCTTTAAAAAAAAATGTAATTATTTTATAGAGCAGACGTGATCTTGCTTATTGTTAATGTGTGGCAGACTGGCAGTAGCATATTATTCCTGGGAGCTCGTAAGAAATTGGAAAATTGGGGATTTGGAAGCTTAGAAGGCACATTTTGGGCGGATGAGAGGATTAATATATCATCACTATTCATGTGATGGTATACTCCACTGTAGGAACCTTTGTACTATCCACCACTTCAAGATTTGAAGGATGATTTACTGTCTGGTGAGATGCAGAAGGGTGTTATCTCCATGTCAAATGAATGAGTTAACTCCCTTTTGGCTCTCACGATATGTCATTCATCTGACGTTTAAAAGATATGGTACAAGGTCTGTGGAAAAGTAGGGTTCAAGGGGCTCCAGCACGCCCCACATTTTTTCAATTTATAAATCAACAGTCTTGCATAGTCACATAAATTTGGACCTTTTCACTGAAATTGAGCACCCCTCGTGTTGCACATATTCAACAGTGCATATGATGGCTGGTGAGGGGATTATTTGGCAAAAATACTTGTCTCAAAATTCAGGTTGGAAAAAATAATAAAAACATACATTCAGTTGAGCACAAAAGAAGCTAAAGACGTACTCGTATTTATGAATTCAAGATCCTTGATTGTTAAACGATATTATGCGATCGAGTATGCTTTTATAGATACTGAAGGAATACTGTACTGTGTTCTTTCCATCAATGCACTACTATTTGAACACGAAGAGAAATAAAAAGTAGTTATTCCACATTTTAAACCAGAATAAATTGGAAGTGGTTCTGATTATATACTTCTGGATTAATCTTTAAACTGCCATGAATGTGCTACCTTCCGAATAGAAACATAATTGGGAATTTAAAAAAAAAAGTGAAACTGAACCTTAAGCGCATGTTAGAGTCGTTTCCTGGTATTCAATTTAGTATTAATGTTGTATCTTTATACATGTATCTCGATGTTAAAAAAGTTAAGAATAAGCAATGATCTAAAAAAAACAAATGACGTTCATGGTTAGCTTCCACATTTGCAGTGAAAAAATATTTGTTCTAGAAAAGTCACCATTCGTATGAGTAAAGAAAATATTAAATGTATATTGTATTTGTGTTACATGTTAATAAACATGATTGTGATGAAAAATACAGTTCCAAGTGTATTTGTCATTCTTGGATGGTATCCCTAGCTTGTTAAAGACCGTCGATACTACCTGGCCAGAAGGGATTGGACCACCCAGCCAGGTCACTGACAGGTGGCTATCTCATCAACTCAGCTCTCAATAATAAGAAAAAGAGGATCATGGGGGACCAACATGCACCGATTGGGGAAGGTTTCTTTATAGAGGGAGCATGTAGCTACAAGTATAGGACAGTGGGGCTTTAAATGATGCAGTACATTAGCTTTCAAGTATTTAAACAAAAACTAAGGGTAATCTTGAGTTCTGTTAATAGCAGCAAATGTATAAAGTGGACTGAAAATCACGCTCATTTATTTAAACTACAAATAAATGGAGTGATAAGGAAATGAGCTACATGTATATGGAATATTCACTGTCTCTTGAGAGATAGTGATTTTTCAGCAAATCTACTTAGTTTATAGTGCAGGTAACCTTTCTTCTGTTTATAATTAGCTTGTTCAAACATATCTGCTCGTGCATGCTTTCAGTATCATTTCAAAACAGTTCCTTTCAAAATGCCTTTTCACGATCAAAACTCAAAAAGTGCTTTACTGTTATTTAATTGCAATTGTATGAAAGGAATATATTTCCAGTGATGTTTGTTCAGCTTCGGTGGAATTTTTGTGTGGGCGAGTAAATGGATTTTAACAAGCCCGCGATTATTGATGTTCATGAGATCAAGATAGGGAGCATGTGAAGGACTGAAAAAAATGAGAGAGAAAGGGAGGAAGGAAGGGAGAGAGAGAGAGAGAGAGAGAGAGAGAGAGAGAAGGGTGGAAGTGTTAGAGAAAGATAGTGGATAAATTGATAGAGATGGTAATTAGGAGGTATGGAGTGAGATATATAGAGAGAGAGAGAGAGAGAGAGAGAGAGAGACGGGGAGGGAGGGAGGGAAATCGATGGATTAGAGTAGGCGTAATTTGATACTTCCTCCTACCTTTATTCCATTGACATATGATCATAGGTTAGGGCAGGGAGGTGGTAAGTCGGGATTTGGGTTAACTGCATATAGATTAAGGGTATATAATTGATAGGGTTTGATGCTGCGATATACATGTACAATACTACATGTCACATTCAATAACCATCATCTTTATCATCTAAAGTTAAGCCCATTTTCCTACTTCTCTAAATCATCATTGTATAAATCAACAATCATTATTATCATCATCACTGATGATCAGACATCATCATCATTAATTGCATGCATTCGGTTGTGGGCATAATGACGTCATCATTACTTTGTAAACATGGTTGATCTTTTTTGAGAATGAAACACCCGTATCATCCTCTACAAAACGGCATGGAAAACGACCCTGAGGTTGCTTTTAGCATTAATCAGAGGGATACAGAATCGACAGAGAATAATTGCAAGATGCCGAATGGAAATGGAATCGAACCGAAAAGGATGAGATACCCGTTTTGTGTCGTTTGGACGCCAATCCCATTTTTGACGTGAGTACAATTCTGTCCCACACATTCGAATACATGTAGGCTACATTTTCCATATTTGTATCGTAATTCATGTCTATTGTCGGGGGGGGGGGGGGGTGGGCGGCGGCGGCTGCTTCATTTATGTCCATTGTACAGTTGTACATGTATCGTAACAACACGATTTACAAAACTAAGACTCAGATATTATCATAGAATAGGTAAACACCATTCATTCTGCACTGTCTCCAGGACAGGACTCGCTCATTTTGTCAAAGTCAAATTTATCATATTGACAACAATCAACAGACAAGATTGACATGGAATTTGTAAATGTATAAATGACATCCTGATCATCGATAACGATAGACATAAATGAGACTCGAGTTTAGATCATTAGTATCATCTTTCCCCATCTCCCTATTATGTAGAAGTTGACCCCAAATGTATCTTTATAATAATAACAAAACATGTAATTATCACTTCTTTTCGCTTTCTAGTTTAGTCTTAAGAGCTATTTTGAACACAGAAACAATCTTTGATTCATCTTTAGACATTCAAAGTAATTTGTGTGTTTTCTTTAACTGTTACATCGTCATGATTCTTAGCAGTCTAATAACATGTTGTGCTGTTTTTTTTCCTTCTTCTTTTACTCTGCAGGTGGTTGTTCCCTTTCATCGGTCACATGGGTATTGCAACGTCACAGGGAATCATCAGAGATTTCGCTGGTCCTTATTATGTCTCAGTAAGTCCTCTATGAAATTCACTTTGCATGATTCAAATGCAATACATAAATATAATGTAGCTAAGCAAAATACAGTGGCACAACAACATTTGTTGGGACTGCAAGAGCAGTATTAGTGATATCAGATCTTATGTGGCATAAAAGTAAGTTTAATCAAGGTGTAAATAATATAAATGTGTATATTATTTACATGTACCAGCTCAGGGTCACACCATTATTTCTTTTGGATTACTAGATATAGGGTTTGACCCTAAAAACTCTTCTTTTTTTTCACAAGAAAAACAAAATTATTGAAGGTGCCCTGGTCAATGATGTTCTGTATAATGCATGTGTACATGTACATTATCTCATTGAAATTCTTAATATGGCATTTTTTTCTACACCTTTATTTTTCACTTCAGTTATTTAACATCATATTTTACCCTACTCCCAAAATGCCTGGTGAAATACCTTTCATATCACTATTTTCTTCTATTGCTGTTTGTTTACCTACTGTCTGATGATTGTGAGGAGTGATGACTTTATATATTTTGTATTTTAATCTGTAAAAACTTTGGCCGCTATTACATATTTTTATTTAAAAACACATTCCAATTCAATCCTCTATGTATAGTGGATGAGAAAATACATGTACATGTTTATGTTTATCAACGTGCTTCATGGCGCGTCAAAGTCGTTTATATTCATAATTACAATCGCTTGTATTTTTAACTAACCAAATTAGGAGAATGACATGGCTTTTGGTAGACCTACCAAATACTGGATTCTGGAGTCGTCACAAGTTAAACCAGGAACGTGGGACACGTCTGTTCATGAAGCATCGGAGGAATATAAATCTAGAATGGTATGTATGATGTCAGCAATGGTGTAGAAAGGATTCCTTCCAATTTAGGGGGGGGGGGTGGGCACAAGCCAGAAAAATATATTGAAAGAAAGAGGGAGGAAAAGAAGGAGAAGAAGGAAAAGAAGGAGAAGGAGAAGAAAAAGAAGGAGAAAAAAGAAGAAAAAGAAGGAGAAAAAAAGAAGAAGAAGAAAAAGAAAGAAAAAGAAGGAAAAAAGGAGGAGGAATGGAGAAAAGGGAGAAGAGGAGGGAGAAGAAGAAGAAGATCAAGTCTCTGCCTCTCTGGTTTTGTAAATGCGACCTTTATGAAAAACCACATTTGCCTCCATCTCTTTCATCATGATATGGGCTGTGATGCATATTTCTTAAATAAATAAACTATCATTATATTATTATAATTTGTCACTTAATTTTGAAAAATAAGATTTGTTCCCCTTTGTGCAGAAATATTTCATTACAATTTTAATTTTTAACTTTGCTTTTGATGCCACAATCTACCACTTTCTCTCTCTCTCTCTCTCTCTCTCTCTCTCTCTCTCTCTCTCTCTCTCTTCTTCAGCCCCTTGCTCTATCCCCTGCCTCTTTGATTTTTTTTGTAATCACATTTTTTGTTTTCTCCATCTTTATCTATTTGCAGCATAATCTTTTTTGCGACAACTGTCACTCGCACGTTGCCATGGCTCTCAATCTGATGAAATACAAAGAGAGCACGTCGTGGAACATGATCAAACTCTGCTTTCTCATGCTGATCCATGGAAAATACGTTGGGTAAGTTCTTTATCCCAAGTTGATGGTCTCTATCTGACTCTCTGTCTCTGACTCTCTCTCTCTCTCCATCTCTTTCTCTCTCTCTCTTTCTCATTGTCTCTCTAGCTCTCTTTCTCTCTGTGTGTCTCTCACTCCCTCTCCGTCTCTGTCTGTCTCTGTCTTTCTGTCTCTTGCTCTCTCCATCTCTTTCTGTCTCTCTGTCTCTCTCTTTCTTTCTCATTGTCTTTCTCCCTCTCTCTGTCTTTTGCTCTCTCTTTATCTGCTAGCCCTTTTTATGTATGCAGTGTTGTTATAGCTGTCTTAAATGAAAATAACATTGTATTTACAAGGGTTTCATGAGATATAAAAGTAATGTAGTGATTTTTATCCAATCAAACAATTGACAGCATTATTTTTAACATGGCTCTCTTTAAGAGGTTAATTTAAAGGATCTCAATAATGAGTTTAGGCGAAAATCAAAGAAAAATATTTTGCTAGGTTAGTAGATTCGAGGGGGGGGGGGGAGGAGGGGGGAGGGGCAGATTCTTTGATACATGCAAATTACATGGTTATTTTAAAAAGAAAATAAGGGGGTGGGGGCAACTAATTCAACACTTCCCAGGAGTTATGATTGGATAATATGCACCTACAGTATGACACTTCCATTTTCATATGTTATCTCAAACATTATTTCTTGTTTTCCCTCTGTCCAGATTTGGTGGATTTTTAAAGACGTGGCTTCCCGCGGTCATCTTCTATGGAACCCTGATCACCCTCATCGTGGTATTCTCGTAGAACCTCCGCTGCCCCACCCAGAAACCTTTGTTACCCCACTCCGAAAAACCTCAAAATTCAACCCTATCGGTGTACCCCTGAGCTTGGATCATGGAGGAAAGAGTTTCTAACCTTTGAGAAAATCCACTTGTTGGTTGTTATATTTTTCAGAGATGCCAGTTCTCAGGCAAAAGCTGGAATTCAGGCCCTGGCTAGTTATTTTCAGGCCATAGTTTAGGCTTTTTTGTCTACAGAATAGCTCATTCTAGGTGATTTTCAGGCCCACTGATCAATTCAACTGGCATCCCTGATTTTTGTTAAAGACCAACAAATGGGGATCACACATACCGTACTACTACTACTGCTTCATAATTTGGGCCCTGTGTACATAAAAACTTGTCATCAATGACATATGCTAGAAATTCTATGACAGATTTGCTCTCAGTCAATCAAATGCAATGAATTCAGGTATTGTAACTTGTTATTACGAACAAGTACTATGAAGCAGGGTCCAGATTGTAGCAATAGGGCATAAAAGATGGAAAATCCATGATTTTGAAGTGAGCTTTCTCATCGTTCCTCATCAAATCCAAACCAAAATTTTATAGCATTGCACATGTATTTGTACAGGAGATATGATGGCTCAGTGGTAGTGCAATGGATCCATAAAAAAGGCTTACAGGATTCAAAACCAAGTCGATATGCTGATGTCCTTTTGTAAGGCATTAGTCCTAAGTTCCTTCTGAAAATATTCAAGCCCCAAATCTACTGATTGCTTTCTTCAATCGCACATTTGTTTTCTTAGCTGTCCAGTAAAATGATCAATTAGAAATTTAGAAAAAATCTGTTTTGAAGTCAGCTTGCAAACAGGCGAGCATTTATATTTTGTAGATGAAACAAGCTCACTATTCTTCACGTTTTTCAGGATAATATGGTCAAAATTGATCTTAATTAAGATGCTGCATGAAGCTGTGCCAGGAAATTAATAAAAACTGTTCTTGTTGTGAAGACTGCATGTAACATTCTTTATGATCCTGCTTCTATTTTCCTCATATTTCATCTTCATCTGTACCCCTCCCTCTCCTTATTATTGGTACAGTCAAACCTGCTTTAGTGACCACCTGTCTACAAGGACCACATTTTTTCCCTTGAAAATGGTTTCTCATTGAAACATGTACTAAAGGAACCTATCTACAAAGATCATTTTTTTGTTTCCCTTGGGCAGTCGCTATAGACAGGTTGACTGTATTTCTCATTATTTATTTATTTTTCATCATTATCTTCTCTTTTCTGTCTTCAATTTCAACTCTATTCCTTTTTTTTCCAATGTGATTTTATGTTCCAAATCTTAACATTCTCATTTTCTTTATTTCTGTACCAAATCATGCTTATGACCTTAAATTATTCTGTAAATTTAATTGACCAAATTATGCTCTGAATTTAGTCAATCTGTAAACATATCTACCTAATGACAGCTTATAATTTCTTCAAAAATAATTATGTAAGGTTACAAAGACTGTGCATTGAGATGTATTATTTTCTGCGTTGGAACTGGAAGACTGCTTGAGATATGCCATTGTAAAATTGATTGGATTTAAGTTATTAGGTACACGTTTTAAAGATGGACTTTTCTAAGAGTTGTAATCTTCACTGAAACATTGATATAAAATATGGAAACGGTTGTTAAGAAAAGATGACACACTTGGCAACCATCAGCAACTGCAGTTACATTCATGCATAACATATTGTTATTGATTCACTCAAGAGTCAAGATAGTGCATGTTTAATTTTTATTTTTGATACTCTTATTTAAAAAAAAGAGAAAAAAAGAAATTAATATTAAAAAGAAAGGCATTGGTGATAATAGTCAGGTCTTGACTGATTGCCAATACAACAAAAAAAAAAAAAAAACGATCTGAAATGCTTTGTTTAATTGATAAGTTGGGCATCTTTTGTGGATATACAATTAATGATAAAGGTACATTTTCTGTTTCCGGAAGAAAAAAATATACCTTCTGAACACATTTCTCAATACCGGTACTCAATTTCTTCGGTGGAATCTGCATGAAAGGAGTAAAGACCAACTTGAAAATTCCATTGGAGGTAGATATGCAATAGTACTCAGATTTTTTTCTCATCAAAATATGCCAATGTGCTTTCACCTAAAGTAGTCTGAAATATGTCCCCTCATACCAGTTTGGAGAAATAACATCTGAATTGCTGCAACTTCTTAAAATAACAAAAATGTAACTGCTGTCAATATTCTAGGGTTTTTGAAAGAGTATTATACTCTTATGTGATAAATACATTAAACCAAACAAATTCTTTTTTCATAGATGGATGAAAAACAACCAAGTTATTAAAAAATATTAGGTACTTAATTTGCTAGATATTATATCTTATGTTTGTGATCTACATGTACTAGATTTTTTCAATTTAGTATACATATTATACATATATACATGTAAATATTGCCTCTGTACCTGCAATTGTTCATGCTTTAATTTTGGATAAAACAAGCAAATACATTAGGATTAAAGTGTAAATATTACAATGCAAATATTTTTGAGAAGAAAATAAACAGGGTACCTTTTTTTTGTTCAGATTTCCCAAAATGCAAGCTATTCATCAAACACTTTCCCTGATTTCTTTTCCTTCAATGTTGTATTGGTCCTCAACCTAGTGTTCTATGCATTTATGGTCTAAAATTCATTTCATTGTTATTTATTTGTTAGGTAATCTAGAATTTTGATGTTACTCGTATTGAATGTGTATATAATTTATAAATAATGATTTATGCTCCTTTTGAATATGATAATGAATCATTTCAATCTTTATTCCAATTCATAAAAATACAACAACATCAAATATAAAACACAATAGCATTATATACAACATTTAGTAAAAATGGTACAAAAAATAAATACATAAGTTTCATAATAATATTGTAAAAATGAATGGAAAAGGAGGCGTACGTAAAAAGCCAAGGGTAGGCTTGTAAGAGTGTACGACCCTACAATTTAAATAATGTATGAATATATATTGCAAAAAAATAACAAGTACCAACAATACTGTATCATCATATACCAAAACACAAAATAAAAAATCAACAAAAACAACAACAAAAAAAATCAATAATTTCCAATCAAATATTTTTTATATTGCCTTTTAAATGAGTTATTAAATTGAATATTAAAGTTACTTAAATTTAGACTATTCCAAAGGATTGGGCCTGTGTGGCGTAATGAGTATTTTGATTTATTATTTAAATACGTCCAACGGTGAAAATGATTGCAAGATCTTGTATTATAATTATGGATATTTCTATTTTTTACAAACATATTCATTAAATATGGGGAGAGTGTTTGAGAGTGAAAACGTTGCATAAACGAAGCAATTTGGATCTTATTTATATCTTGTAATTTGAGAGTATATAATAATTTAAATAATGTGGAAGTAGAAGCAGTATACTCGGACTTCGTACATACTCGTATGGCTTTCTTTTGTAACATTATTAGTTTATGTAAATGGCTCGAATATGTGTTACCCCATATTGAGTTACAATACGACAAGTGTGACAAAACATAAGCATTATAAAGAAGAAATAATATGTTACTAGGCAATTCATACTTCAATCGACTTAAAATCCCTATGAATCGTGAAATCTTCAAGCGTACTAAATCAATGTGATCCTTCCAAGACAAACTACTATTTAATACTACACCTAAAAACTTAACAGAATCATAGAATTTCAAAGGAACTGCATCTATTTTCAACAATATATCATCGACATTAAATTGCACACCACCCTTTTTAAACAGAACACATTGGGTTTTACTAGTATTTAAAGAGAGCTTATTACATTTAAACCATGCTGATATGTGGGCAAGACTTGTATTCAAAGATTCAACTAAAGCTTCAATATCATTATGAGAGGCAAGGAGTGAGGTGTCATCCGCATACAAAATACAGTCACATTCATGGCAAGAATTCACAATATCATTAATATAAATTAAAAATAGTAATGGTCCAAGAATTGACCCTTGAGGGACACCTGTGTTTATATTACCGAAAGACGAATTATGTGAGTTATAAACTGTAAATTGTTGTCGATGTAATAAATAAGATTGAAACCATTTTAAGGAAAGACCTTTAATGCCATAATGCTGCATTTTTTGTAATAAAATATCTGTCTAAAAAGTGTGAAATATAGAAAATAGGAAAGTGGTCTGTTATGTCTGTTACAAAAATACCGGAAATAATGGAGCTACAAAAGACGTTCGTATAAATATTATCAATATTTGTTGCTGACCTTGAATTAACACGGGTTGGTCTATTTATTATAGGATAAAAACCAGATGATGCGACTGTATTGATAAAATCGAATATTTGCGAGTTTGTGTATTTCTTCATCAAATCAATATTCAAGTCGCCCATTAAATATGCACGTTTATTTTTTATTTCATTATAATTCATTAATTTATCAAAGAAAGAAGAAAACTGAATAACGTTTGATTTAGGTTGACGATAAATAATCGCTACAACAATATTTTTAGATGTTTTGCAATCTATTTCTATACATAAACAATCAACACCTTCGCATTGTTCAGAGAACTGGACAAGTTTATAATTCAAGTCCTTTCGAATAAATAGACCAACTCCACCACCACGTCCGGACGGACGGTCAACATGCACAAATGTATAACCTTCTATTACAAAAGGAACATGTGAATTGGAATTAATCCATGTCTCTGATATTCCTATGACTGAGAATTGATATTGAAGATTAGAAAGATAGGCATGTATTTCTTCAAAATTACGAAACATACTTCGGGCATTAAAATGAATTATGCTAAAGTTTTTTTTCTTTTGTTCTTGGGGTTGGCGTCTGCAGACCCGGCATCGTTTGCGATTCCGCCCCTCGGAGCGACGCGATGTGAACGATCTATGTCGACTGCTGTTAGGTTGACGCCCAGTCGTTCACTCGCTAGTTGGCAGATGACGTCATCTGTGATTTCCGTGTTGCTCTCTTTCACGCCGTAAAACTTCAGACAATTGCGGCGAGAGTATTGATCAGCCTCATTCATCGCCAGTGTAAGGTTGTGAATTGAGGTTGACTGCTTCTCAATGACGTCTTTCAAACGGTCGATCTCAGCTCCCTTCGTATTCAGTGAAGATTCAAGCTCTAGCGCCTTTCCATCGACGCGCTCTATCTCCTCCATTGTGTGAGTGCTGCTAATCTCTAGCTGGTCCAAGCGTTGATTGAACTTCATTATGTGCTTATCAATAGCCCTCTCTACAGCCTTTTCAACGGCATTGACAAAGGCGTTGCTTTCCATGTACTTCTCGAATGCTTTAAAGGCCGCCGCTTCTATTGCATCTGCCGTGGCCGTATCCGTGGTCGTAGGAGTGGCTTTACGATTTCTGGTCTCCATATTGGAGATGTTGACAATTAGTTTGTTTGTTTTGTTTTTTCCTTCAAGTTATGTTGACTAAACGTTTGAAAGGGTATAAGATACTCGTCGTAGATTACCCAATAATGATCATATAATGATCTGGCATAAAGTCAAGGTTGCTGGCAAATGAATTGCGTATCACACTCAAAGTGAGCAGTATCAAACGTTTTAGTTCATAAAATACTTAAATCACATCACATATATCATGCCGATACAATTCCAGAGGTGTGGAAATCAATTAAAACATGGCACAGGTCGAGACAGGTACTAAGTAGTCCTTTAAATAGTCATTAGTTCAGACTCGTTACCTGGTCGAGTTCCTGTGCGTT